TTTTTGTAGGTACACTGGGAGACGAAACCAACCACATTATAGGTGACGATCAATTGAAGTATGGAATAATATTGTACACTTTCTTTCTGTACCTCTCCTCTCCCCTCTCTTGGCTTATCAACCCTCTTTCACCTCTATTTTGGCTCCCTTGCCAATACACCTTCCAAACTCTAATGAGGTGTCAATGAATACACACCGGTTAAAGAAAGATACAAGCAAACCATTTTGACTATCTTTCTGCACACATATATATATATATTCCTATTTATCTTTCTCTACATCACCTAAATACACCAGGCATTCAAAAACCAAGAAACCGCACTACTCCATAGTCTTGCCTTCGAACCATTGATATATACCCACCAACAGGAACTGTCTTCTCCTCTTGAGGAAGTGACCCTTTAGTCTCCTGTCCTTCCCTATTTTCGCTTAGCAAACATCTCTACACCATGAAATATCTGAGTTTCCCACGAATACATGAAAAATTATTACATGAAAACAAGCCGCGGGCCAATCTGCAAGGTGCACCAATGATTGTCATTGCTTATCTGATTGGTTTTCAATGCTGGTCTGTAGAAAGGAAAAAAGGCAACATAGTTAGTATAGTTCAAAGCTCCCTATACCTTACAAATGGGGCATCTTTGACCATGACACTCGGGACACAAACACTCAGCACACATGGCAGTGTTCCACAGGCTGGAAGGAGATATCACATGGCCCCTCACAGAGAAAGAACTGGTCCAGTCACAGACCACATCCATCTCTCCTCCATCTTGTTAGAGTCTCCTCCAGACACCGAGACCTCAGGGGGGTGTGGCCTCACTCCAAGTGGTGGGTGTGGTTCTTCTCTACAGAGGTCTTGGCTACTTTACTTCTTGAATAAGACATTGCTGCACAGCCAACAATACATATCATAAACAGTTAGGCACAGTAAACCTGTGTTGGAGTGTCTGGGAGAAACAAGAGGAGGAGGAATGTCTGGGTAGGCTCCCATCTCTTAATTACCTCTCCTAAAAACATGACGACGAGAAAGGGTAAGTAAATGTGTTATTGAAAGCATTAAAAACATGTACTTTCAGGCTGGAAAGAGCGAAGCAGTGATTCATATTCAGGGGGACCACAAATGAAGAGGAGTGATCCCTCTACCGATGTAGTCTCCAGACGGCTCCTTCACCGACCAAGGAAAAAGGCAAACAGTGATGAAAAAAGACAGGGACATCCTGAATACGATTGTCAGCACCAGCCACATTATGTTCAGACATGTGCAGTATAGTGTCATGCCTCTTCCATCTGTGCGTGTAGATAGTCAGCTACCGTAGCGCCACAAGAGCCTCTACACCACTGTGCGGCTCCCTCAATCATAGCCACATACAGCGACTAGCGAGACGGTGATGCTGACATCCACGACACAATCTCCTCCGGTCAATACTATTGCATCAACCTCACACAAACCAAAAAATGTCTAAGTCGGTGAAGTGTTAGGACAAAAAACAGTACTATCTACCATTGAGGCAAGAAGACAGAGAACGCCAAAGCTGCCAGGAACTGCAGCTGCAGCATGGAGAGCTCTGTATCCATTGTCCGATCGTTGGCTGTTAACAAGACCAGGGTGTGCCCCCAGGAAGATCTCCACACCACTGTGTGTGTGCAGGCACATGGCAAACTGCACTGAAAGTTCTCAATGATGTAGAAATACTCAATGATGATACTAATCAATGCTATCGTTAAAAGAGACATGCTTGACACACAAATTTGGTATACGTACCATATAGCGTTGTTCAGTTAAATTGTGGTTCCTTGTATATAAGCAATACTCACAGCCTTCTTGCATTCACCACGACGCACAGCGTAACATACAGCAAAATATTTGTTCTCAGACTAAAAGAACAAATATTAGCCGTGACAAAAAAACCTGCTATACAGTATACATACGCACTAGTCAAATCCTCTTGTCACAGCACCAATGAACACTGTACAGCCTTGATGATTGGCCACTGATATATCTGCTCCTGCATCCAGTAGCTGTCGTGTTGTAGCTGTCCACCGCTTCTGAACAGCAAGATGCAGAGGCGAGTCACCTTCAAATTCTGCACAGTTGACATGAATTAGCATAACTCTGAATAAAGGGACACCACGAAACAAAGCTCTATACATGTACCTGTGCATTCATGTCACATTTTGGGTGTTCCAGAAAGAGTCCAAGAAGTCTGGAGTAGCCCAAGGCTGCTGCAATGTGGACAGGGGTCCACCCTTGGTCGTTCCTCTTATTGGTGTCACTGCCTTTATCGACTAGAAGCTTAGCTGCCTGGTAATGGTTGCTGCATAGAGTGAAAATAGAGATGCTTAGTGTCAGTTATACTTTCTGGAGAGGGAATTTACAAAGCACTCCATTAAAATTGGTTATCATTGCACTATGTCCATCGACACACTATGCCATTCAAAGCATAGATTTCTTACCAACGACTCGCATAATGTAGAGAAATATCTCCCTTGACATCCTGCACAGACAGTTTTCCAACATACATAATACACACCAGTGAAGCACTCACTATGGCTGTGATGTCTGCATTGTACTCCAGTAACACTCGCAAACAGTTTAAGTAGCCCTGACCTGCCGCTATATGCAGTAGTGTGTCGCCGCCATTTCTGGTGTTAGCCTGTGCACAGAAACACGTCCATCAATACTCTGTCCATGATTTAACTGCTGTACAGTAGTTCGTGGCATGCACAGTAGCAGAGAGTATTGGAGTGTGCTATATTGTTCACTCTCACTTGGTCAGGCCATTTCTTGAGCATATCTGCTAGCACAGTTGCACAACCATTCTCAGTAACAGCCACCAGTGCCTCGGGCATGGGTTCCTCGAGCGTAGTGACCCAGAGTAGCTCCACCCCCAACGACTGCTCCTTCTCAACTGCAGTTTAAGCACTATTATGTATATACATGTCTTGAGGATAAAACTAAGCATGGTATGCATGGTATTGTCAAGTCATATCTATTATATATACTTTGCTCATTCTCAGGCTGTTCTCCAGGAGCCGGTACAACACAAGAGCTGTGCATGACCCACTGATATCCATTCACTACTATACACGGATGTCCACATTGGTCAAACACAGTTACTCGACCGAGCTGTCCTAGAGACTGTGTATACAAATATCTCGGTTCAGTAAGCAACACAAACTAGAGGTACAATACTAACCAGAGCCATATCATCATGCCATTCAAGAGTCTCCTTCTGTAGTCTGTGGACCTCTGCCATATCATCAGTCACACGCACCACATCATCAATCGAAATCTCTGGTCCTTCTACCTATGTACATTCAATGATGTCATCTTTACTAACTACGCTGCATATATACATGCACCATTGCACACCTTTTGCAGAGCACTGAGAACAACTGTAAATCCAGATAATTCAAAGGAGAATACGATGTTTGCTACTGCCATGTCGGTATCCACAAAATTAACAAATCCGACCATTCCCAGTAACTGGGTGAAAGAGACGGGGTTTTTAAAACAGAGCACAAAACGTACACATTGTCTCACATCGACAAGTCTCTCATCCCACTTATTTATTGTCTCTTGGCAGCTTTTGAGGAGATCAATGTCCATCTCCAGTCTAGCTCTGTCTCCAGCACAGATGAATGGAGTTGTTGGAGCATTGTACTCTGACCCTGAATGGAATGTCCTTGATTAGGTTGGCCTTAAAAGTCTAAAGTAAGAGCCATACCTAGCAGTGGGAGGTGGTCCAGATAGCAGTGTCCTCCTTCAGCTGCCACTGTACACTGTAGATCCACCTAATGTCCACACATCACCACATTCACTGCATTCTCTACACGTCTCGTCTCCCCACCTTGCCCTTGTGTCCGAGTCGGTACTTTCTCTTTAGACCTGATTCTCTCCACTCCACCACTGCCACACTTCCCTGTGTCATACACACAACATTACAGCCTGTCCACTCACCACTCTACACTCGTTCCACTCACTGAGCTCTCCCTCTGCCATCCACACACCTCCACCACAGTCCCCTCTCTCCCCGCACCTCCATCTTGATCACTCCACCTCCAGTCTCGTCCACGCACCACTCTGGCTCCCACAAACAGCCCCCTGGCCCCAACACGCCCCGACAGGTACCGACACCGCACTCTTGTCCTGTCACAAATACACTGCCGTTCGCGTCCCCACCAACACACGGGTCTCTCTGTGTCTCACCTCTGTCTGGGGTTCTCTGGAGAGTCTATCCTCATGAAATGGTGCCAAACACTGTGTCTGTCCTTCATGTAGCACGGAGTGCACAGATAGTAGCGCAGACAGTGGACACACCTCCACACACAGCCTGCAATACTCTCACCGCCACACCCACTGCACTCCAGATGTCTGTGAACCACACCTGCTCCACAAACGAGACTTTCTTCATCTCTTCTCCTCCTAGCTCTGTCTCTCACCTGCTTGTGCGCTGTCTATCACTCGCAGGTCGTACTTGCCTCCCGCACCGCAGCGGTATACGTGTCTCTCTCCTCCCACGTCCCACTGAACAGTGGCTATATCATGTCTGCCATCCTCAGTGCCGTCGGCCCTTCCTCCAGCAACAACAGTTCCCACGTATCCCTCTCCACCATCCTCGTTCCCTCTCTCCCAGTCAGGACCTCGGACCACTCGCAGACCTGGCCTCACCTCCATAGCCGACTCCACCTAGATAGGGGAAAACCCAGGGATTTCCCCGTACTTGCTGAAGAAGAAGCGAAGCAAACCAGTGCAACTGTTCTTACTATTGGTCCTCTCACTACCTAGTACTTCTTTTGCGACTTTGCAGTTCCTTTTTCCATACTCCAATGATCGTCCAACATATGTGAATGGTTGGCTCGTAAAAAAAATGCAAAATCCTCAACACCCTTATTACTCTTTTGCCAATCCATCCCCTAGGGGTGTGAACGATTTTGCTTTTTGTGTAGGAACACCAGTCGAATAAGAGACTAGCCAACTATCCTTACAAGTTGGAGGATCATTGGAGTATGGAACAGTAACATACTTTCTTTCTGTACCTCTTCGTATCTAGGTTCACCAATCCTTCTTTTGCCTCTTCGCTAGGTAGAAGAGACAAGCAAACCATTTAGACTATCATTGGTGTATTAAATTATCTTCCTGTACCCATCATCTACCAGACATTCCCAAAACCAAGAACCCCACTACGGCTATTCTGATCCTTGTATACAAGACTTTCCAAACCATTTATGTATACCATCAACAGCAACTGTCTTTCCCTCCCTCTCCCACACAATTCCTGCTTAGTTACTACATCCAATACTGAGCCTGTTCAAAATCTCCTCTAGTTCTTTCTGCTTACGCCCACTACACAGCGCTGACAAAATCCATGTAGCGATCCTTATGGTCTCCTGTCCTTCCCCTATTTTCGCTTAACAATTTGCATGTCCATTACATGTTGAATGATAGAATTGTCATTTCTTTATCTTGATTGTCTTCTCAATATTGGTCTGTAGAAAAGGGTGTGCCAGGAAGAAAGGGTTACATAGTGTATGTTGGTTAGCTCTCTATCTCTCTATACCTTACAAATGGGACATCTTTTGACACTGACACTCTGGACACACTCAGCACACATGGCAGTGTGTCCACATGGCTGGAAGGAGATATCACATGGCCCCTCACAGAGAAAGCAACTTGGTCCAGTCACAGACTCCACCTCACTCTCCTCCCTCTTGTTAGAATCTCCTCCAGACACCGAGACCTCAGGGGGTGTGGCCTCACTCCCAGTGGTGGGTGTGGTCTTATCCTCAGCACATGTGACACTTTTCTCCAAAGACTTGGCAGTAGTGTTAGGCTTCTACAAATTACAGACATACATGCATGCAAAAAATATCTCTGTGCAAAACGGCTATATATCTAACCTGAGTATGGAAGTGACTAGTGATAGGAGGATGTCTGGGTAGACTCCCTCTATAATGACCTCTCCTGTCATAAGCACTGCATTATAATTCACAAAAATATTCATATTTGGGACCACCTTTCTGGTCTGGCATATAGTTTTAGTAGAGAGACGTATTCTTGTGGGCAGCAGTCAAGAGGAGTCAGCCCTTCCAGTGATTCTGTTTCCAGACTGGCTCCTTCACTGACCAGGAAACAGGCCACAGTGATGTAGACAGGGACATCCTGAATACTGTTGTCAGCTCCAGACACATACTCATGGAACTGTGGGTGGAAGGCAATGTAGCTATGAGAGTGTTTGCAACAAACAGCCATGTTCTATAGACCTCATTCAGTTGGAGTGTACACTCTGATAGAGGTTTCATGTTTCTCTTGGCCAGAACTAAGTGCAGTGAAGTGTTTCCAACTACATCATTTGCTTTGACATCAGCCCCATAGCCCACCAGACTTTCCACACATCGAATTTGACCTTCCCTTGCAGCTATATGCAGTGGAGTTTCATTCGTACCCATGGTGGGCATATCTATTTGGCATGATTCCTGCACAAATATAAAACAACCCCTAACAGAGCTAACTATAATGGCTGAGGTTTACTAGTTCTTATGACAAAGCCACCTGTACATTACAGCTAGTCAGAAACTGGCGAAAGAAGGCAAAGTAGAAATATTACGGGGAAATTACTCATGATTGCTATCTGCCAGTCATAATGTGGATCTCAACAGTGGATCTCTATTGTACGGATGTAATACCACAGAGGCCAGAAAGCACAATATATCACATCTGTCGGAGACTGCTGCAATGTGAAGGGGGACACATCCATCCTCCATCCTTTGGAAATTAATGCTCTCTGGGTTCATCTCCAGTAGCATCTTTACACCGCTGTATATATATATAGTCAGGAGCCATAGAACTCAGCTGAAGCTATAGCTCACATATTACCAGAAGAACTCTTCCAACAGAGCTGGTACAAGAGCAGTGTGACCCAGTTGATTCGGTATCAATGCGTCTGCTCCAGCTTGTATCAATAGTTGCATCACGGCAGGCCAGCAACCTCGACAGGCCACATGAAGTGGAGTGTCACCTTTCAAATTCTGCAGCAACATAAAGAAGGGCACAGGCTAACTCTATAACACTGCCAAACTGAAACGCACCAGAGTGCATAGCTATACATTACACGAACAAAAACACGTACACATGTACATGTACCTGTACATTAATGTCACAGTTTGGTTGTTGGAGGAAAAGGCTGAGAATTCTGGAGTACCCCAAGGCAGCTGCCATGTGGAGTGTTGTAAGGCCTTTGCCGTCTTTCTTATTTACGTCACTGCCATTTTCAAGCAAGAGCTTTGCCACATGGTAATGGTTGCTAAGAGTATGGAGTAATACAAGACTTTCATAACTACGTATCTTTAACCCTCAACAGTCCTACCATACCATTAATTTTCGAGTGCCCACTTGGATGTATGAAGCTAAATACTCCCCTTTGTGGTACCAAACAGTATAAATTTGCATTGGCTGTATGATATCAAGGTGCTAACCAACTTCTCTAATCCAGACACCAATGGGACAGGCTTATTGCAAGGGTTAAAGTGTTTGGAGGTGTCTTTATTGAAGGGGTGCCTTCATTAAGGGTGTCCATAGAGAAGGATTCCACGGCAAATAATTATGTGTTGGCACAATGCATGGCTACTGTATATAAGTAAATCTTGCGTGTGTAGATATACGGGCAACTTACAAACGGGCTGCTTTATGTAGAGGAGTTCGACCATACTCATCCTGCACACAAAATCCATCATAATTATTATAATACACTTTACTGAGTGAATCTGAGGTCACTCACTGTAGCCGTGATGTCTGCCTTGTGCTCCAACAGTACTCGGACGCAATTCACTCTCCCTTCACCTGCTGCCGCATGTAGCAAGGTTGAGTTGTTGTGCTTGAGGTTCACCTACAACACGATATAAATAATAACAGCAGCAACAAAAACATTGGCATAAGAGACTCCATTGCTGTATCACTCACTTGCTCCGGCCATTTCTTGAGCATATCTTCTAGCATTGTTGCTCTGCCTCCTAACGCGATGCTCACTAAAATATCCGGCATTGGCTCCTTAAGCATAGTTGCCCACAGTAGCTCCATGGTAGGAGGCTTTTCCACATCAACTGAAAGTGTACGAGTTATTCTATAGCTTTCTTGGTGAGTGAAGTTTAGTCGTTTTAATGTGCAGCTTTTCCCTATGGATCATATCCGACAACACTGTCGCACATATAATGTTATACGTACACTATCTAAATAGACGAAAAGGAATTGCATTTCGCAATGCCCGTGTAACTCTCGCGTTCGCCTGCCAAAAATCTGTGGCATTCGTTCTAATAATAGCCGTACTTAGTTCATCCTCAGGCTGCTCTCCAGGGGCAGGTACAACACAGCAATTGTGCATGATCCACCGCCAACCATTCACCCTCAGAATCACATAGCCAGATTCATCCAGCATTGTCACCCGACCAAGTTGGCCCACACACTGAAATTATTACGATAACCAAGGAAAATAGAGAAAACTTTATGCTACAAACCAGAGCCATGTCGTCGTTCCAGCCTGGTTTTGTCTCCTTCTGCAGTGAGTAAACTTCCGCCATATCGTCAATCACACGCACCACATCATCAATGGCTACATCAGCTCCCTCGATCTACAGAATAGCAACTACTTCATTATAACAGCACGCAGAAGAGTGTATGGTTATTACGTACCTTTATGAGAGCATCGGTAGGTACAGCATATCCATCTGCACTTAAGGCATAGAAGACGCATGCAAATTTCATATCATTGTCAACTCTGTTTACTACTCCAACATTCCCAATATACTGCAGGTAAGGATAGTGTCAACATTAACTCAAGTAAGGACAGCACAAATTCTAAATATTTTTGGTCAGCCAAGCAAGCTCAGCTAGCTCAATTGCGCAATTAGCAATTTGTGCAGTTTGTCGATGACTTCATCCATACTGTTATGAAGTTCTCTGGCAATAAACAAACTTTTCCCCATAGAAAACCCACATTTTACGTTTAAAAACTACTGAAATCGCACTCCCAAAGACAAACAAAAATTGATAATTACCTGAGAATTTCAACTCACATTAAGAATGTCTTCATTCCACATACCCACACCAACCAGACTTGTCTTGAGAAGATCAATGTCCATCTCCAGTCTAGCTCTGTCTCCAGAACAGATGAATGGAGTTGTGGGAGATTTGTACTCTGACCCTGAAGTATGTCCCTGATTAGGTTGGTCTTAAAGTCTAAAGTAAGAGCCATACCGAGCAGTGGGAGGTGGTCCAGATAGCAGTGTCCTCCTTCAGCTGCCACTGTACACTGCAGATCCACCTAATGTCCACACATCACCACATTCACTGCATTCTCTACACGTCTCGTCTCCCCACCTTGCCCTTGTGTCCGAGTCGGTACTTTCTCTTCAGACCTGATTCTCTCCACTCCACCACTGCCACACTTCTCTGTGTCATACACACAACATTACAGCCTGTCCACTCCACCACTCTACACTCGTTCCACTCACTGAGCTCTCGCTCTGCCATCCACACACCTCCACCACAGTCCCCTCTCTCCCCGCACCTCCATCTTGATCACTCCACCTCCAGTCTCGTCCACGCACCACTCTGGCTCCCACAAACAGCCCCCTGGCCCCAACACGCCCCGACTGGTACCGACACCGCACTCTCGTCCTGTCACAAATACACTGCCGTTCGCGTCCCCACCAACACACGGGTCTCTCTGTGTCTCACCTCTGTCTGGGGTTCTCTGGAGAGTCTATCCTCATGAAATGGTGCCACACACTGTGTCTGTCCTTCATGTAGCACGGAGTGCACAGATAGTAGCGCAGACAGTGGACACACCTCCACACACAGCCTGCAATACTCTCACTCCCACACCCACTGCACTCCAGATGTCTGTGAACCACACCTGCTCCACACAAACGAGACTCTCTTCATCTCTTCTCCTCCTAGCTCTGTCCCTCACCTGCTTGTGCGCTGTCTATCACTCGCAGGTCGTACTTGCCTCCCGCACCACAGCGGTATACGTGTCTCTCTCCTCCCACGTCCCACTGAACAGTGGCTACATCGTGCCTGCCGTCCTCAGTGCCGTCGGCCCTCCCTCCAGCTACAACAGTTCCCACGTATCCCTCGCCACCATCCTCGTTCCCTCTCTCCCAGTCAGGACCTCGGACCACTCGCAGACCTGGCCTCACCTCCATAGCCGACTCGACCTATCTACGCTTGATAGGGGAAAACCCTGGGATTTCCCTGTACTTGCGAAAGAGGGACTGATGAAGCTAGATAGGAAGAGGTGAAGAAAGAAAGGCTATTCCATACTCCAACGATCTTCCAACTTATAATGACAGTTGGCTTGTCTCTTCCTCCACCAGTGTTCCTACAGAAAATGTCAAACATCCTGTGCCACCCCCAAATCTAATAGGGTGTCAACAATTTTGCATTTTTTGTAGGTACACTGGAGACGAACCAACCATCCTTATAGGTTGGACGATCATTGAAGTATGGAATAGTATTGTACACTTTCTTTCTGTACCTCTTCCTCTTCCCTAGCTCTCTCTGCTTTATCAGTCCCTCTTTCACCTCTATTTTGCTGTCCCTTCGCCAATACACCTTCCAAACTCTAATGAGGTGTCAATGATATACACACCGGTTAAAGAAAGATACAAGCAAACCATTTTGACTATCTTCCTGCACTACATATATATATATATTCCTATTTATCTTTCTCTACATCACCTATATACATACCAGGCATTCTCAAACCAAGAACCGCACTACTACCATAGTCTTGCTTTCTGAACCATTGATATATACCCACCAGCAGGAACTGTCTTTTCCTTCTTGAGGAAGTGACCCTTAGTCTCCTGTCCTTCCCCTATTTTCGCTTAGCAAACATCTCTTACACCATGAAAATATCTGATTTCCCACGAATACATGAAAATTACATGAAAACAAGCCAATTTGCAAGGTGCACCAATTGATTGTCATTGCTTTATCTTGATTGTGTTTTCAATGCTGGTCTGTAGAAAGGAAAAAAGGCAACATAGTAGTATAGTTACAAAGCTCCCTATACCTTACAAATGGGGCATCTTTTGACACTGACACTCTGGACACACTCAGCACACATGGCAGTGTGTCCACATGGCTGGAAGGAGATATCACATGGCCCCTCACAGAGAAAGCAACTTGGTCCAGTCACAGACTCCACCTCACTCTCCTCCCTCTTGTTAGAGTCTCCTCCAGACACCGAGACCTCAGGGGGTGTGGCCTCACTCCAAGTGGTGGGTGTGGTCTTCTCTACAGAGGTCTTGGCTACTTTACTTCTTGAATCAGACATTGCCTGCACAGTCAACATTATACATACTGATCATACATTAGGCACAGGTAAACTGTGTTGGATGTGTTGGTGCTAACAGGAGGAGGAGGATGTCTGGGTAGGACTCCCTTCTATAATACCTCTCCTAAAAATGACGACGAATAGTAAAATGTGTATTTTGAAAGCATTTAAAAATGTACCTTTCAGGTCTGGGCAAAGAGCTGAAGCAGTGATTCATATTCAGGTGGACCACATGAAGAGGAGTGATTCCCTCTACCGATGTGTAGTCTCCAGGACTGGCTCTTCACTGACCAGGAAACAGGCCACAGTGATGAAGACAGGGACATCCTGAATACGATTGTCAGCTCCCGCCACATACTCATGGAACTGTGGGGAATTAGAATGAATGCATGCTCTACAAAACTGTAGTCTCGGTAATTTACAGTACACGTACCTCATTCAAATGCACTGTCCACTCTGAAAGGGGCTCCATTTTTCTCATGTTCAGAACATTGTGCAGTATAGTTCTGCCTCTTCCATCTGTGAGTGTGATATCAGCTCCGTAGCCCACAAGAGCCTCTACACAACTGGTGCGGCCCTCAATCATAGCCACATACAGCGGACTAGGAGAGGGTGATGCATCCACAACACAATTCTCCTACAGTCAATAATATGCATCAAACCTCACACAAACCGGAAAAAAAGTTGGTCAATTATTACAGTACTATCTACCATTGAGGCAAGAAGACAGAGAACGCCAAAGTTGTCAGCAACTGCAGCTGCAGCATGGAGAGCTCTGTATCCACTGTCCATTCGTTGGCTGTTAACAAGACCAGGGTGTGCCTCCAGGAAGATCTCCACACCACTGTGTGTGTGCAGGCACATGGCAAACTGCACTGAAAGTTCTCAATGATGTAGAAATACTCAATGATGATACTAATCAATGCTATCGTTAAAAGAGACATGCTTGACACACAAATTTGGTATACGTACCATATAGCGTTGTTCTGTTAAATTGTGGTTCCCTGTATATAAGCAATACTCACAGCCTTCTTGCATTCACCACGACGCACAGCGTAACATACAGCAAAATATTTGTTCTCAGACTAAAAGAACAAATATTAGCTGCGACGAAAAAACCCTGCTATACAGTATACATACGCACTAGTCAAATCCTTCTGTCACAGCACCAATGAACACTGTACAGCCTTCATAATTGGCCACTGATAAATCTGCTCCTGCATCCAGTAGCTGTCGTGTTGTAGCTGTCCACCGCTTCTGAACAGCAATATGCAGAGGCGAGTAACCTTCAAAATTCTGCAACAATTGACATGAATTTAGCATTCACACGAAATGCAGTAAAACCCTGAACAAGGGACACAAGCTCTATACAGTATATAAATGTACCTGTGCATTCATGTCACATTTTGGGTGTTCCAGAAAGAGTCCAAGAAGTCTGGAGTAGCCCAAGGCTGCTGCAATGTGGACAGGGGTCCACCCTTGGTCATTCCTCTTGTTGGTGTCACTGCCTTTATCGAGTAGAAGCTTAGCTGCCTGGTAATTGTTGCTGCATAGAGTGAAAATAGAGATGCTTAGTGTTGGTTATACTTTCTGGAGAGGGAATTTACAAAGCACTCCATTAAATTTGGTGATCATTACCCTATGTCCATCGACACACTATGCATTCAAAGCATAATTTTACCGATTTCTTACCAACCACTTGCACAATGTAGAGGAATATTTCCCTTGACATCCTGCACAGACAGTTTTCCAACATACTTCTCATACATAATACACATCAGTAAAGCACTCACTGTGGCTGTGATGTCTGCATTGTACTCCAGTAACACTCGCAAACAGTTTAAGTGGCCCTGACCTGCCGCTATATGCAGTAGTGTGTCGCCGCCATTTCTGGTGTTAGCCTGTGCACAGAAACACTCTCTCAATACTCTCTCCATGATTTAACTGCTGTACAGTAGTTCATGGCATGCACAGTAGCAGAGAGTATTGGAGTGTGCTATATTGTTCACTCTCACTTGGTCAGGCCATTTCTTGAGCATATCTGCTAGCACAGTTGCACAACCATTCTCAGTAACAGCCACCAGTGCCTCGGGCATGGGTTCCTCGAGCGTAGTGACCCAGAGTAGCTCCACCCCCAACGACTGCTCCTTCTGAACTGCAGTTTAAACACTACTTGTACATACTACGTGTCTTCAGATAGCATGGTATGCATGGTATTGTACAGTCATATCTATCATACTTTGCTCATTCTCAGGCTGTTCTCCAGGAGCTGGTACAACACAGGAGCTGTGCATGACCCACTGATATCCATTCACTACTATACACGGATGTCCACATTGGTCAAACACAGTTACTCGACCGAGCTGTCCTAGAGACTGTATGTACAAATATCTCGGTTCAGTAAGCAACACAAACTAGAGGTACAATACTAACCAAAACCATATCATCATGCCATTCAAGAGTCTCCTTCTGTAGTCTGTGGACCTCTGCCATATCATCAATCACACGCACCACATCATCAATCGAAATCTCTGGTCCTTCTACCTATATACATTCAATGATGTCATCTTTACTAACTACGCTGCATATATACATGCACCATTGCACACCTTTTGCAGAGCACTGAGAACAACTGTAAATCCAGATAATGCAAAGGTGAATACGATGTTTGCTACTGCCATGTCGGTATCCACAAAATTAACAAATCCTACCATTCCCAGTAACTGGGTGAAAGAGACAGGGTTTTGAAAACAGAGCACAAAACGTACACATTGTCTCACATCGACAAGTCTCTCATCCCACTTATTTATTGTCTCTTGGCAGCTTTTGAGGAGATCAATGTCCATCTCCAGTCTAGCTCTGTCTCCAGCACAGATGAATGGAGTTGTGGGAGCTTTGTACTCTGACCCTGAATGGAATGTCCTTGATTAGGTTGGCCTTGAAAGTCTAAAGTAAGAGCAATACCTAGCAGTGGGAGGTGGTCCAGATAGCAGTGTCCTCCTTCAGCTGCCACTGTACACTGTAGATCCACCTAATGTCCTCACATCACCACATTCACTGCATTCTCTACACGTCTCGTCTCCCCACCTTGCCCTTGTGTCCGAGTCGGTACTTTCTCTTCAGACCTGATTCTCTCCACTCCACCACTGCCACACTTCTCTGTATCATACACACAACATTACAGCCTGTCCACTCCACCACTCTACACTCGTTCCACTCACTGAGCTCTCGCTCTGCCATCCACACACCTCCACCACAGTTCCCTCTCTCCCCGCACCTCCATCTTGATCACTCCACCTCCAGTCTCGTCCACGCACCACTCTGGCTCCCACAAACAGCCCCCTGGCCCCAACACGCCGCCCCGACTGGTACCGACACCGCACTCTCGTCCTGTCACAAATACACTGCCGTTCGCGTCCCCACCAACACACGGGTCTCTCTGTGTCTCACCTCTGTCTGGGGTTCTCTGGAGAGTCTATCCTCATGAAATGGTGCCACACACTGTGTCTGTCCTTCATGTAGCACGGAGTGCACAGACAGTAGCGCAGACAGTGGACACACCTCCACACACAGCCTGCAATACTCTCACCGCCACACCCACTGCACTCCAGATGTCTGTGAACCACACCTGCTCCACAAACGAGACTTTCTTCATCTCTTCTCTTCCTAGCTCTGTCCCTCACCTGCTTGTGCGCTGTCTATCACTCGCAGGTCGTACTTGCCTCCCGCACCGCAGCGGTATACGTGTCTCTCTCCTCCCACGTCCCACTGAACAGTGGCTACATCGTGCCTGCCGTCCTCAGTGCCGTCGGCCCTCCCTCCAGCAACAACAGTTCCCACGTATCCCTCGCCACCATCCTCGTTCCCTCTCTCCCAGTCAGGACCGCGGACCACTCGCAGACCTGGCCTCACCTCCATAGCCGACTCCACCTATGTACGTACGCTGGATAGGGGAAACCCCAGGGATTTCCCCGTACTTGCTGAAGACGAGATCAAGTGAACTATCTCACTACCTAGCCTCTTTGCGGTACCTACAGCGAAATAGAGACGAAAGAGGGACTGATGAAGCTAGATAGGAAGAGGTGAGGAAAGAAAGAGTACAATACTATTCCATGCTCCAATGATCTTGCAACTTATAATGACAGTTGGCTTGTCTCTTCCTCCACCAGTGTTCCTACACAAAAAGCAAAAATCGTTGACACCCTTATTATTCCAGGGTGTCAATAATTTTTGTAAGTACACCAGAAGAAGAGAAAAGCCAACCGTGCTTAGAATATCATTGGACTATGGAATAGTCTACCTGTCCCTTTGCCAATCTACCTTCCAAACTCTAATGAGGGTGACAATGATTTTCCAGGTGAATATAAGAAGACACAAGTAAACCATTATACTAAACACTCCACTATTGCAATAGTAACGCACTAGGTGCACCATTTCCTATCTATCTTTCTCTGCATCGCCTATATACCAGGCCTTCTCGAAGCAAGAACTGTGCTACAACTACTCTTGCTGCTTATACCAACCAGCAGGAACTGTCTTTCCTTCTTGAGGAGCGACCCTTAGTCTCCTCTCCTTCCCCTATTTTCACTTAGCAAACATCTCTTATACCATGAAAACATCTGATTTCCCACGAATACATGAAAACAAGCCAATTTGCAAGGTGCACCAATTGATTGTCATTGCTTTATCTTGATATATTATACGCTGGATAGGGGAAACCCAGGGATTTCCCCGTACTTGCTTCGCGCTTACTATTGGTCCTCTCACCTTTTGCCTCTTTGTGGTCCTTTGACCTTTTAACCTACAGCGAAATAGAGGGTTTGATGAAGCAGATAGGGATAGGTGCAGAAAGAAAATACTATTCCATACTCCAACAATTGTCCAACTTATAATGATTGTTGGCTTGTCTCTTCCTCCACTACAAAATCATTGTCACCCCTTTGCCAATCCACCCTCAAACTCTAATAAGGGTGTCAACGATTATTGCATTTTTGCAGGAACACTGGTGGAAGAAGAGACGAACCAACCATCCTTATAGGTTGGACGATCATTGAAGTATGGAATAGTATTGTACACTTTCTTTCTGTACCTCTCCCTCTCTGCTTTATCAATCCCTCTTTCACCTCTATTTTGCTGTCCCTTCGCCAATACACCATCCAAACTCTAATGAGGGTGTCAATGATATACACACCGGTTAGAGAAAGATACAAGCAAACCATTTTGACTATCTTCCTGCACTATTCCTGTTTAATTTTCTCTACATCGCCTATATACATACCAGGCATTCTCAAACCAAGAACCGCACTACATATTCTTGCTTTCTGAAAACCCATTAATATATACCCACAAGTAGGAACTGTCTTTCCCTCTTGAACCCTTAGTCTCCTCTCCTTCCCCTGTTTTCGCTTAGCAAACATCTCTTACGCCATGAAAATATCTGATTTCCCACATAACACTCGAATACATGAAAATTATGAAAACAAGCCAATTTGCAAGGTGCACCAATTGATTGTCATTGCTTTATCTTGATTGTGTTTTCAATGCTGGTCTGTAGAAAGGTTTTCCATGAAAAAATGCTACATAGTAGTATAGTTACAAAATACCTTACAAATGGGGCATCTTTTGACACTGACACTCTGGACACACTCAGCACACATGGCAGTGTGTCCACATGGCTGGAAGGAGATATCACATGGCCCCTCACAGAGAAAGCAACTTGGTCCAGTCACAGACTCCACCTCACTCTCCTCCCTCTTGTTAGAGTCTCCTCCAGACACCGATACCTCAGGGGGTGTGGCCTCACTCCCAGTGGTGGGTGTGGTATTTTTGACAGGAGACTCGGCTACTCCACTATTTGAGTCTAGTGGCTGGAAAGTTGTGCAGTCAACATTACACATTATCATTGAATCTTCTAACCTGAGTTGTGATCATCTCTGTCTGGTGCTAACAGGAGGAGGATGTCTGGGTAGACTCCCTCTATAGTTACCTCTCCTGCAGTAATGAAGTAAAGTTACACAAAAAGTGACTGAAGACACTACCTTTCAGGTCTTGCAAAGAGCTTCAGTAGAGAGTGGTATTCCGGAGAACAGACACCGAGAGCTGTGAATCCATGTACCGATGTAGTCTCCAGACTGGCTCCTTCACTGACCAGGAAACAGGCCACAGTGATGTAGACAGGGACATCCTGAATACGATTGTCAGCTCCCAGCACATACTCATGGAACTGCAAAGCACGGTATAAAAAGGTGTACTTTTTTAACTGCTATATACCTCTTCCCTCACTTTATTCATGTATGGTGTGCAATCAGAAAGTGGTTTCATGTCCCTCTTGGCTAGAACAAACTGCAGTGGAGATCGTGACTCCAGATCAGTAGTCTCCAAAATGGCTCCGTAGCCCACCAGACACTCCACACACATAATGTTGCCTCTATAACACGCTAAATGCAGTGGAGTTGAGCCATTGTACGATTGCTTATTCAGTTCACATGTATCCTAGAGAAAAGTGAGATTTTGTAGCCATGTATAACAATACCAGTACAATGTCCAGCACTCTCTTATTTAAATAAGAAAACTTGTTTTTCAAGTGAGGGTATATATATAGAAACCCGTGTCACTTTACTGAAAAACTTCCTGCACATGCAAAAGTGCCGGAAGCATGCTTCGCACATTCAGAAATGTGCCGGAAGTAGTATGCTACCTGCACATTCAGAAATGTGCAGGTAGAGTGAATTGCAGGTAGAAATGGAAATATTCCTGCAAAATCCCCATATTTTTGACATGTGTAGGAAGAATTAAAAGCTTCCTCATATTTTTCCTGCACATGAGCTAGTTGTGCTGGAAATATCTTACGTTTTGCTTGAAATTCCTGCACATGTAGGAAATTTCCGGCACATTCCCCATACATTATGATATGGGTTTCTTATTAAAACGAGAGAGTGCTATCCATACTATGGCAGCAAGGTAGTAGAGATGGTCGTGGCGGTTGAGTTGAGCTGCGACATGGAGTGGAGTCCAACCATCATCCACCTTTATCGCGTTGATGACTCCCTGATCATGCTCTATATACGTCTCCACACCACTGCATAGGCATTTGCACGTTAACACAATACAAGTCTTAAAATTACCCGAAGAATCCTTTGATGATAGCAAATACGACGGCATTGGCTGATAGCATGCATATTGAAGATACATCAGCTCCAGCGTCCAACAACAACCTGGTAATGTCTGGCTTGAAGCATTGAGATGATATGTACAGCGGAGTGCTGCCAATCTTATTCTGTAGTGTAAACATAACAACATGCAAGGTACTGTTTAGTAGTGGGTATGTAAATTATGAGGAAGAAAGGCTTTGCCGATTGCTTTTGGCTACATCTATATACACCCACAAAATTTCCCACTATTGAACTGTCTGGTTTACAAATTACTTACCCGTAACTCAAGATTGCATTTGCGGTAGCTTAGAAGAAGTGCAACCATCCTTGAAAACCCTAAGCCACAGGTATTATGGAGTGGAGTGTTCCCAGAAACATCGCTTATGTTCACATCACTCCCTTCGTCCATTAGCAGTTTGGTAATGTGGTAGTAGTTCCTTTAACCAGACATTGTGTGCAATGCGGTAAGGACAACGGTGTGTTTGTAACTCACAGGCGAGATGCAGCGCTCAGAGGAGTCTCATTGCGATCAACCTACAGTGAAATATTGTGTCCATTTCAACTGAATCGGCCAAATAACAAAGTTACATTTGCTGACGGACTGACACATTTTTGGCAGGTAAACGGGACCAGTTCAATTTTTCAATGAGTTATGGTAGACCACTCACATTTGTAGCTGACAGATCTGCCTTGTGCTCCAGTAGCACTCTCACGACATTTAGACGGCCATTTAGAGCTGCCACGTGGAGTGTTGTTACACCCTCGTGCCTAAGGTTTGCCTACAAAGAACTATAATGTGAAACAAGGATTTCCCACAAATTGGCTTACCATCTCTGGCCATTTCTTGAGAGTGTCCGCCACTGCATCTGCATGTCCATTGGCAACAACCCTGAAAAACAGTTCAGGGTTTGGTTGCGTTTGGACAAACTTCATCATCAGCACATCAATATCGCCCGGTCGATCAGCTTCAGCTATGCATGAAATGGACAATATTCACAGCGTTTCTTGAGTGACAAATGAACAGCCTCTATGGGCTGGGCCGGTTTTTATATACTGCTCTTTACCAGTGTGCCGCAAGCAAGCCAACAAAACGTCAAGTTTTCAGTGAAATACGCAAGCATAATTATATGGTCTGCACAAAAACGGAATGTTTAGCATACATGTGGTGCACAAATAAATATGACCGCACTACTCATATGGACTTACTCCCTTCGTCCTCAGGCTGCTCTCCAGGAGCAGATGTGAGACAGAGAGGATGGTACAGCCACCTCCTCCCATTCACATAAACAAGAGCTGCTCCATCTGCCGTTACCCTCTTCACACGACCCAACTGACCTAGAGACTGCAGGCCAGTATGCAGTAGAGCAGCTATATAATAATAGCAGCATGCCATGACATCATTATTCTCTTCAAGGGACTGCTTCCATAGCTGCATATGAAACCTGATATCTAGATCTAATTGTGCAAGCCCTCTCTCTTTCTCGGCAATTTCCACTATTACACAGGCTGCACAGCAATTAGCAATTCCCATACTAACCAGAGCCATGTCATCATGCCATCCATGTCCATCCTTCTGTAGTCTGTGGACCTCCGCCATGTCATCAATCACACGCACCACATCATCGGGAAGAATATCTGGCCCCTCAACCTGCAGCAGTACAACAATACTTACGTATGTAGTGCACAGGGCGTTTGCTAGAAGTTCCGACCTGTTTCAATGCTTCCAGTATCACAGTGAACTCTATAACTTCACCATCAATAAAAAGGTGAGCATTACGCACATCTAAGTCAATCTTCATTACCACACCAACCTTCCCCCAGATACTGCAGTCAATAGATTCACAGTAGCATGTTCATGATTCGTAACTAAAGTTTGTAACTAAAAGTACCCATAATATACAAATGTGTGTTGAGTAGGATGGTCAACATAATGTGGCAGTATGGCTAGAACACTATAAACAAAATCGGGCCCAATGCAAGAAAGATATATACTACCATACCACCCTCCCTTTAATGGCGTACATCAACAAGATTGTCCTCCCAAGTACCCAACTCCTCATGAATGGACTTGAGAAGTTCAATGTCCATCTCCACAAGAGCCCTGTCTCCAGCACAGATACAGGGAACACTGGATGAGTTGAATGCTGGCCCTATAAGGAAGAAGAGATTAGCTCGCTACTACACACAAAGATGGTACACTCAGGTGATATACAAAGGCCACACCTAGCAGTGGTAGGTGGTCCAGATAGCAGTGTCCTCCAGCTGCCACTGTACACTGTAGATCCACCTAATGTCCACACATCACCACATTCACTGCATTCTCTACACGTCTCGTCTCCCCACCTTGCCCTTGTGTCCGAGTCGGTACTTTCTCTTCAGACCTGATTCTCTCCACTCCACCACTGCCACACTTCTCTGTGTCATACACACAACATTACAGCCTGTCCACTCCACCACTCTACACTCGTTCCACTCACTGAGCTCTCGCTCTGCCATCCACACACCTCCACCACAGTCCCCTCTCTCCCCGCACCTCCATCTTGATCACTCCACCTCCAGTCTCGTCCACGCACCACTCTGGCTCCCACAAACACCCCCCTGGCCCCAACACGCCCCGACTGGTACCGACACCGCACTCTCGTCCTGTCACAAATACACTGCCGTTCGCGTCCCCACCAACACACGGGTCTCTCTGTGTCTCACCTCTGTCTGGGGTTCTCTGGAGAGTCTATCCTCATGAAATGGTGCCACACACTGTGTCTGTCCTTCATGTAGCACGGAGTGCACAGATAGTAGCGCAGGCAGTGGACACACCTCCACACACAGCCTGCAATACTCTCACTCCCACACCCACTGCACTCCAGATGTCTGTGAACCACACCTGCTCCACACAAACGAGGCTTTCTTCATCTCTTCTCCTCCTAGCTCTGTCCCTCACCTGCTTGTGCGCTGTCTATCACTCTCAGGTCGTACTTGCCTCCCGCACCACAGCGGTATACGTGTCTCTCTCCTCCCACGTCCCACTGAACAGTGGCTATATCATGTCTGCCATCCTCAGTTCCGTCGGCCCTCCCTCCAGCTACAACAGTTCCCACGTATCCCTCGCCACCATCCTCGTTCCCTCTCTCCCAGTCAGGACCTCGGACCACTCGCAGACCTGGCCTCACCTCCATAGCCAACTCCACCTGCGCAGGATAGGGGGAAAACCCTGGGATTTCCCCGAAGAAGAGCTACGCGTATACTATCCTGCGTAAGTAGAGGTGGAGTCGGCTATGGAGGTGAGGCCAGGTCTGCGAGTGGTCCGCGGTCCTGACTGGGAGAGAGGGAACGAGGATGGTGGCGAGGGATACGTGGGAACTGTTGTTGCTGGAGGGAGGGCCGACGGCACGGAGGACGGCAGGCACGATATAGCCACTGTTCAGTGGGACGTGGGAGGAGAGAGACACGTATACCGCTGTGGTGCGGGAGGCAAGTACGACCTGAGAGTGATAGACAGCGCACAAGCAGGTGAGGGACAGAGCTAGGAGGAGAAGAGATGAAGAAAGTCTCGTTTGTGTGGAGCAGGTGTGGTTCACAGACATCTGGAGTGCAGTGGGTGTGGCGGTGAGAGTATTGCAGGCTGTGTGTGGAGGTGTGTCCACTGTCTGCGCTACTATCTGTGCACTCCGTGCTACATGAAGGACAGTCACAGTGTGTGGCACCATTTCATGAGGATAGACTCTCCAGAGAACCCCAGACAGAGGTGAGACACAGAGAGACCCGTGTGTTGGTGGGGACGGACACGAACGGCAGTGTATTTGTGACAGGACGAGAGTGCGGTGTCGGTACCTGTCGGGGCGTGTTGGGGCCAGGGGGCTGTTTGTGGGAGCCAGAGTGGTGCGTGGACGAGACTGGAGGTGGAGTGATCAAGATGGAGGTGCGGAGAGAGAGGGAACTGTGGTGGAGGTGTGTGGATGGCAGAGCGAGAGCTCAGTGAGTGGAACGAGTGTAGAGTGGTGGAGTGGACAGGCTGTAATGTTGTGTGTATAACACAGAGAAGTGTGGCAGTGGTGGAGTGGAGAGAATCAGGTCTGAAGAGAAAGTACCGACTCGGACACAAGGGCAAGGTGGGGAGACGAGATGTGTGGAGAATGCAGTGAATGTGGTGATGTGTGGACATTAGGTGGATCTACAGTGTACAGTGGCAGCTGAAGGAGGACACTGCTATCTGGACCACCTCCCACTGCTAGGTATTGCTCTTACTTTAGACTTTTAAGGCCAACCTAATCAAGGACATTCCATTCAGGGTCAGAGTACAATGCTCCAACAACTCCATTCATCTGTGCTGGAGACAGAGCTAGACTGGAGATGGACATTGATCTCCTCAAAAGCTGCCAAGAGACAATAAACAACTGGGATGAGAGACTTGTCGATGTGAGACAATGTGTACGTTTTGTGCTCTGTTTTAAAAACCCCGTCTCTTTGACCCAGTTACTGGGAATGGTAGGATTTGTTAATTTGGTGGATACCGACATTGCAGTAGCAAACATCGTTTTCTCCTTTGAAGGATCTGGATTTACAGTTGTTCTCGGTGCTCTGCAAAAGGTGTGCAATGTATATATACAGCTTAGTTAGTGAAGCTGACATTATTGAATGTATATATCTTGTATAGGTAGAAGGACCAGAGATTTCAATTGATGATGTGGTGCGTGTGATTGATGATATGGCAGAGGTCCACAGACTACAGAAGGATACTCGTGGATGGCATGATGATATGGCTCTGGTTAGTGTTGTACTTCTAGTTTATGTTGCGAGATATTTGTATGTATATACAGTCTCTAGGACAGCTTGGTCGAGTACATATGTTTGACCAATGTGGACATCCGTGTATAGTAGTGAATGGATATCGGTGGGTCATGCACAGCTCCTGTGTTGTACCAGCTCCCGGAGAACAGCCTGAAAATGAGCAAAGTATGATAGATATGACTGTACACTACCATGCATACCATGCTTGATTTTATCCTTATCCTTGCTCAAGACATGTATATACATAATAGTGCTTAAACTGCAGTTTAGAAGGAGCAGTCGTTGGGGGTGGAGCTACTCTGGGTCACTACGCTCGAGGAACCCATGCCTGAGGCACTGGTGGCTGTTACTGAGAATGGTTGTGCAACTGTGCTAGCAGATATGCTCAAGAAATGGCCTGACCAAGTGAGTGTTCTGTGAACAATATAGCACACTCCAATACCCTCTGCTGCTGTGCATGCCATGAACTACTTTATTGTATTTTGCGTGGGCGAATCAAAGGCGCCGCCAGTACTATATTCATCATACAGAACAGTTTTTGAATGAACTGTACTATATCGCGCGGAACTGTACTATATCACACGAACTGTGCTATATCCGCGGACTAGCGTACGCTTTGCGGGAACGACGCCCTCGGCGGCCTTTTCGTAGAAGGAGTTCGACTTAGACGGTGACACAAACCGCTGCTGGAAGGGCGCTCCGCGAGCTTCTAGTCCTGTCTTTCATTCTGAACACCGGTTTTCCTGGTCGCCGCCTTTTGAATCGCCCACGCATACAATAAATTACTTAATATACGGAAGCACGTGCTGTGCGCGTGATAATGGTACTCGGAACGTGGTCTCGATAGATCATACAGCAACTCGGCTATGCCTCGTGCTGTATTGACTATCTCGACCACGCCCCTCGTACCATTATTACGCGCACAGCACTGACTTCCGTACATTAACTATTACGTACAGCAGTTAAATCATGGACAGAATATTGATGGACGTGTTTCTGTGCACAGGCTAACACCAGAAATGACGATGACACACTACTGCATATAGCGGCAGGTCAGGGCTACTTAAACTGTTTGCGAGTGTTACTGGAGCACAATGCAGACATCACAGCCACAGTGAGTGCTTCACTGGTGTGTATTATGTATGAGAAGTATGTTGAAAAACTGTCTGTGCAGGATGTCAAGGGAGATATTTCTCTACATCACGCGAGTCGTAGGTAAGAAATCGGTAAACATTATGCTTTGAATGGCATGGTGTGTCGATGGACATAGGGCAATGATCACCAAATTCAATGGAGTGCTGTGTAAATTCCCTCTCCAGAAAGTATATACTAGGAATGCGCATGCGCATATTTTGCCTCGCGCCTGCCGCCGCCGCCAGCCGGCCACTCCTAGCTAGATATATAGAGGCCAGCAGCTAGTAGATATAGGCCACATGCAGGATGCATCGATGATAGGATCGGAGTGCGCGCGCGCTCTACTGACTGCGCGCGCGAAGTCAGACGCGTATATATATATACGTATAATATGCATGCATGGTGGCCGAGAGGGGAATTCCCGCACTGCTGGTGACGTCGGCCCGCACTGTTTGCGTCGTCGGTCCGCACTGTTGGCGACGTTGGTCCGCACTGTTTGCGACATCGCAGCGACGTCGGTCCGCACTGCTAGCGACAGCGGTCCGTACTGCTAGCGCCGGTGAAGCCAATTTTCAGTGGGCGTCGTTCCCGCAAAGCGTACGCGAGTCGAGTAGGGGTCATGTAGTCGTTCCATCCATGGAACTAGACAGTTAGTTTTTCAACGTTGTACTTTTTGTATGCCCCATAGCTACACCGGGACTGTAGAAGCAGCTAGCAAGGTTAGGTCTCAAACGGAGCCATCGCGTTTGGAAATAGGTTTGAAAATCAAGGTAAGTCCTCTCTCTTTGGTAAGATGATTGGTGATTTTCAAACCTATTTCCAAACGCGATGGCTCCGTTTGAGACCTAACCTTGCTAGCTGCTTCTACAGTCCCGGTGTAGCTATGGGGCATACAAAAAGTACAACGTTGAAAAACTAACTGTCTAGTTCCCTGGATGGAACGACTATAATACATGACCCCTACTCGCCATAGTGCTAGCAGTACGGACCGCTGTCGCTAGCAGTGCGGACCGACGTCGCTCCGATGTCGCTCCGATGTCGCAAACAGTGCGGACCAACGTCGCCAACAGTACGGACCGCTGTCGCTAGCAGTGCGGACCGACGTCGCTCCGATGTCGCAAACAGTGCGGACCGACGACGCAAACAGTGCGGGCCGACGTCGGACATCGGACACAGTGCGCTCCGACGTCGCTCCGACGTAGGGCCGATGTCGCTGGCCACCACGCATAGACACGCGACGGTATATACATCTCTGCGCACGGCGGAAGCTAGACTTCCTACGAATGACGGAAGTGACATTCCTAAGCGTGACTAATTGGTACGTACGTACGTATGCATGCCTCACGCTAACGCGCTCGGCAATAACCAACACTAAGCATCTCTATTTGCACTCTATGCAGCAACAATTACCAGGAAGCTAAGCTTCTACTCGATAAAGGCAGTGACATCAACAAGAGGAATGACCTAGGGTGGACCCCTGTCCACATTGCAGCAGCCTTGGGCTACTCCAGACTTCTTGGACTCTTTCTGGAACACCCAAAGTGTGACATGAATGCACAGGTACATGTATAGAGCTTTGTTTCGTGGTGTCCCTTATTCAGAGTTATGCTAAATTCATGTCAACTGTTGCAGAATTTTGAAGGTGACTCGCCTCTGCATCTTGCTGTTCGGAAGCGGTGGACAGCTACAACACGACAGCTACTGGATGCAGGAGCAGATATATCAGTGGCCAATTATGAAGGCTGTACAGTGTTCATTGGTGCTGTGACAGGAGGATTTGACTAGTGCGTATGTATACTGTATAGCAGGGTTTTTTCGTCGCAGCTAATATTTGCTCTTTTAGTCTGAGAACAAATATTTTGCTGTATGTTACGCTGTGCGTCGTGGTGAATGCAAGAAGGCTGTGAGTATTGCTTATAATTATACATATAGGCTGTGAGAACCATGTATACAAGGAACCAATTTAACTGAACAACGCTATATGGTACGTATACCAAATTTGTGTGTCAAGCATGTCTCTTTAACGATAGCATTGAATTCTCTAGATTAGTATCATCATTGAGTATTTCTATCATTGAGAACTTTCAGTGCAGTTTTTGCCATGTGCCTGCACACACACAGTGGTGTGGAGATCTTCCTGGAGGCACACCCTGGTCATGTTAACAGCCAACGATGGGCAGTGGGTACAGTGCTCTCCATGCTGCAGCTGCAGTTCCTGACAACTTTGGCGTTCTCTGTCTTCTTGCCTCAATGGTAGATAGTACTGTTTTTTGTCCTTGACCAACTTTTTTTCCCGTTTGTGTGAGGTTTGATGCATATTATTGACTGTAGGAGAATTGTGTCGTGGATGCATCGCCCTCTCCTAGTCCGCTGTATGTGGCTGCGAATGGGGGCTACACCAGATGTGTAGAGGCTCTGGTGGGCTACGGAGCTACAGATGAAAGAGGCAGTATTATACTGCACAATGTTCTGAACCTGAGAAAAATGGAGCCCCTTTCAGAGTGGACAGTGCATTTGAATGAGGTACGTGTAGCTGTAAATTACCGAGACTATATAAAGTTTTTGTAGAGCATGCATTCATTCTAATTCCCCACAGTTCCATGAGTATGTGTTGGGGAGCTGACAACAGCATTCAGGATGTCCCTGTCTACATCACTGTGGCCTGTTTCCTGGTCAGTGAAGGGGCCAGTCTGGAGACAAAAACACGGGTAGTGGAATAACACCTCTTGATCTCTGTCTTCCTGAATACCACTCTCTACTGAAGCTTTTTGCCAGACCTGAAAGGTAGTGCTAAACCCACATTGTTTGTGGCTGTTTCACAACGCCAATAGCTAATTCAGAAAGCGATTTCAAAGCGTTTTATGGAGCAGTTCAGAGTACATCCTTGCTTGCTGAATTAGCTATAATAATTTTTTACACGGAGTGTAAATACCCAGTAAAACTCTCAAAGAATGGCAACTCACCTATGCTATATCAAACTATCCTCTCCCCAGGAGAGGTAATTATAGAGGGAGTCTACCCAAACGTCCATCTGTTTCCAGACGTACTCAGGTTAGTGGTAGTTTGTAGTGTACCAACGTGACTGCTCCTTCAGAAAGCAGACACCAAGTCTACAAAGGGTGCAGAGAAGACCACACCCACCACTGAGAGTGAGGCCACGCCCCCTGAGGTCTCGGTGTCTGGAGGAGACTCTAACAAGATGGAGGAGAGTGAGGTGGACTCTGTGACTGGACCAAGTTGCTTTCTCTGTGAGGGGCCATGTGATATCTCCTTCCAGCCATGTGGACACACTGCCATGTGTGCTGAGTGTGTCCAGAGTGTCAGTGTCAAAAGATGCCCCATTTGTAAGGTATAGGGAGCTTTGTAACTATACTACTATGTTGCCTTTTTCCTTTCTACAGACCAGCATTGAAAACACAATCAAGACAAAGCAATGACAATCAATATGTGATCAATATGTGCACTTGTAAATTGGCTTGTAATTTTCATGTAATTTCTGTAAAATTACCGAGGTGTATATAGGATATCAGAAATAGAATCAGAAACCTCCTTTTTGGGGCAAACCATGGTATAAGAGATGTTTACTAAGCGAAAATAGGGGAAGGAGAGGAGACTAAGGGTTGCTCCTCAAGAAGGAAAGACAGTTTCTGCTGGTTGGTATAAACAGCAAGAGTAGTTGTAGCACAGTTCTTGCTTCGAGAAGGCCTGGTATATACATATATAGGCGATGCAGAGAAAGATAGATAGGAAATGGTGCACCTAGTGCAGGCAATAGTGGAGTGTTTAGTATATGGTTTACTTGTGTCTTCTTAAAACGATGTATATAATTATATTTACCTGGAAAATCATTGTCACCCACATTAGAGTTTGGAAGGTAGATTGGCAAAGGGACAGGTAGACTACTATTCCATAGTCCAATGATATTCTAAGCACGGTTGGCTTTTCTCTTCTTCCACTGGTGTACTTACAAAAAATTATTGACACCCTGGAATAATAAGGGTGTCAACGATTTTTGCTTTTTGTGTAGGAACACTGGTGGAGGAAGAGACAAGCCAACTGTCATTATAAGTTGCAAGAGCGTTGGAGTATGGAATAGTATTGTACTCTTTCTTTCCTCACCTCTTCCTATCTAGCTTCACCAGTGCCTCTTTCGCTGTAGGAACCGCAAAGAGGCTAAGGAAGTATATACTAGGTAGTGAGATAGTTCGCTTGATCTCGTCTTCAGCAAGTACGGGGAAATCCCTGGGGTTTCCCCTATCCAGCGTACGTACATAGGTGGAGTCGGCTATGGAGGTGAAGCCAGGTCTGCGAGTGGTCCGAGGTCCTGACTGGGAGAGAGGGAACGAGGATGGTGGCGAGGGATACGTGGGAACTGTTGTTGCTGGAGGGAGGGCCGACGACACTGAGGACGGCAGGCACGATGTAGCCACTGTTCAGTGGGACGTGGGAGGAGAGAGACACGTATACCGCTGTGGTGCGGGAGGCAAGTACGACCTGAGAGTGATAGACAGCGCACAAGCAGGTTAGGGACAGAGCTAGGAAGAGAAGAGATGAAGAAAGCCTCGTTTGTGTGGAGCAGGTGTGGTTCACAGACATCTGGAGTGCAGTGGGTGTGGGAGTGAGAGTATTGCAGGCTGTGTGTGGAGGTGTGTCCACTGTCTGCGCTACTATCTGTGCACTCCGTGCTACATGAAGGACAGACACAGTGTGTGGCACCATTTCATGAGGATAGACTCTCCAGAGAACCCCAGACAGAGGTGAGACACAGAGAGACCCGTGTGTTGGTGGGGACGCGAACGGCAGTGTATTTGTGACAGGACGAGAGTGCGGTGTCGGTACCAGTCGGGGCGTGTTGGGGCCAGGGGGCTGTTTGTGGGAGCCAGAGTGGTGCGTGGACGAGACTGGAGGTGGAGTGATCAAGATGGAGGTGCGGGGAGAGAGGGAACTGTGGTGGAGGTGTGTGGATGGCAGAGCGAGAGCTCAGTGAGTGGAACGAGTGTAGAGTGGTGGAGTGGACAGGCTGTAATGTTGTGTGTATGACACAGAGAAGTGTGGCAGTGGTGGAGTGGAGAGAATCAGGTCTGAAGAGAAAGTACCGACTCGGACACAAGGGCAAGGTGGGGAGACGAGATGTGTGGAGAATGCAGTGAATGTGGTGATGTGTGGACATTAGGTGGATCTACAGTGTACAGTGGCAGCTGAAGGAGGACACTGCTATCTGGACCACCTACCACTGCTAGGTATGGCTCTTACTTTAGACTTTCAAGGCCAACCTAATCAAGGACATTCCATTCAGGGTCAGAGTACAAAGCTCCCACAACTCCATTCATCTGTGCTGGAGACATAGCAAAACTGGAGATGGACCTTGACCTTCTAAAGGCCAAGCAAGATCAGATAAATGCTTGGGATGCCACTATTCCAATGGTATGTACAACTACACAGATTCTGAACTTCATTCATACTTATTGCTGGCCACTTCGAAACAGTTCCTTGGCAAGACTGGCATTGTGAATAGAGTTGGCCTGGATGAAATCACTGTGCTACTGACCTCTTTCTTGTCTGCGGCCAAGTTTCGTTTAGTCCCAGATGCTGTAAAGAAGGTATTTACAGTATATTCTCCAGTATGTCCCGAGTTATGATACGTTTACCTCATTCCAGGTTGAGGGGCCAGATATTCTACCTGATGATGTGGTGCGTGTGATTGATGACATGGCAGAGGTCCACAGACTACAGAAGGATGGCCGTGGATGGGAAGACGATATGGCTCTGGTTAGAAAGTCTTATATTACACTTCTCTGCTAGCTTTCTGTCATTCAAACGCAGTCTCTGGGGCAGCTAGGTCGACTGACAATCATACTGGAAGATGGATCAGTAGTGGTGATGGTGAATGGAAGGAGGTGGATACTAGATCCTCTCTGTCTCATACCTGCACGTGGAGAACGGCCCGAAGACGAAGATAGTGAGATTTCCACTGCCATTCTCTGGCTCAGCATTGGCCGGGTTCTTTGGTTGCAGCTGAGGCTGAAGTGAACCCGGGGATAGAGATTCTCCTGTCCAGTATGATGAGGGAGCCCCAGCCTGACGTGTTGGTTCGTCTCGCCACTAAAGGGCATGCCCAAATCCTGGACAGTCTCCTCAAGAAATGGCCTGATCAGGTACGTACAGGAAATGGGGCAACCAATATCAGACACACAGCTAACAAGTACAGTGAAACCACTGAAAAAGAGCCTCTGATAAAAGGACTCCTCTATACAATGTAGTTCTGCCACATTTATATACATTAGCTCCAAGTGACACACTCTGAATAATGACACTCCAAAACATTGCAGGTGAATGTTCTGCATGATGGTAAGACACTGCTGCACATTGCAGCAGCTGAAGGGAGGCTCAATGCTGTTCAGGTTCTACTGGAGCACAATGCTGACATCGCAACTGCAGTGAGTTAATGAGTGGGACAATTCTTTGAATTATGAGAACCATTGACACCCTCGTGCATGAAGATTCTTGCACACAATTTGTGTAAGTGGTGTTCTCTGGTTCAAGGAGTTAGGGTAAACCTACACGTCAAGGTAGCTAGTATCTATACAACCCCACAGGGCAGCAGTGGAGCTATCCCACTGCACAGTGCAGTCCAGCTGTGAGTAGCAACGCAGTTCAGCCGAACCATGCAACTGTAACTCTGTACTGTATGAACAGGAACCATTACCAAGTGGTGAAACTGCTCCTGGATAAAGGCAGTGACGTGAACAAGAGAGCAGCCAGAGGGACCACACCGGTCCATCTGGCTGCCACTCTCGGCTTCTCCAGAGTTCTCCGTCTCCTCATTCAGCACCCTGACTCCGATATCAATGCTCAGGTAATACGCACTCACCACCTATTACCCAACAATCACTAGTCAACCACTGTGTATATTATATGCTACTGTCAGTGCTAATGTGCTTACTATTGTCCAATCCGAAATGGCTTTGGAAGACTTTTCGACAACTCAATATGCTGCACTGTTGTCAATGCTGAGGTATGGTATCCCATGTACTTAGGTAGGAAATAGAAACTGTACCGCTACCTATGGAGAAACTATTTTGTGGTGAATGCCTCTTTGCCTAGTCTTTGGGGGCATTGTCCTCATTGTCTCTTCCACATGAGTGAGATTTTTGAAGCCATTACAATAAAGCAGAGCCTAACTGTCACAAGTAGGCCTGACTAAAGTTTATCTAGGCCTAGTCACAAGTTCAGATTTCTCATGAAAGAATTGAGGAGAGGGCCTTGGGGACGAGGTCTGGATGCCTCTAAAAACCTTGAAACTTCCCGCTATGCAGTATTAGAGTGCCTCACTAACTGCTGCACAGAATGAAGCCCGTGAGACTCCGCTGCATCTGAGCTGCCTGGGTCACTGGCCAGCTGCCACCAAGGTCCTCCTGGAGGCTGGAGCCGACGTCATGCTGCTCAACCTCATGGCAGCCAACCCTTTCCTGCATGCCGTTGTCAACGGATTCTACCAGTGAGTTTGGGCATCTGCCTGTGTACCTTTGGAACTTCCTAATTGTTGAGACCGTCTATCAACTATATACGCCATGTGTAGTTTTTACTTGTACTTGGATTCTCATCAAGCTTTTAGACTGGGAACTGTAACTTGAGACCCCAGCCAAATTTCATCACCGGGATGCTGCCATGTTCCTGTGTGTGAGAGTTCTCATCAAGCTTTTAGACTTGGAACCTTGTTAACTTGGAGACCCCAAAGCCAAATTTCAATTCACCGGGAATGCTGCCAATGTTCCTGTGTGTGAGAGTTCTCATCAAGCTTTTAGACTTGGAACCTTGTTAACTTCAGTTCACTGGGAATAGTTTAAGGCTGTTCCTGTGTGTAAGTACTACTTGTAGTCACACACACATCTAGGCAGAAAACCTGAAGTGGAGTGTTTGTTTCTCCCTAAACATGTGGTAACGGCCTAGTAAGACCAGTCTGTGAAGGTCTACATGTATGTATGTATGTTACACAGTGGAGTTGAGCTGATAATGCAGTATCATCCGGAGATAATCAACCAGACCAAGATTGATGACGGCTACACCCCGCTCCACGTGGCAGCTCAAGTTGACAACTGCGATGCTCTCTGCTATCTTGCAGCCATGGTAAGAATGTACTGCTAAGAGCCACAACCTTTACCCACACATCTGAATGCATGCTGACCTGATCAAATACCCACTTTGTGGTCCCACACAAGTCTATGGGAACAAAACTCGCTGTTCCTAACAGGCTATATACCCTACAATCTTATAATTATTGTGTCCTCACATCCAGGAAACCTGTGAGTTGGACACCACCACCTACATACACCACACAGCACTGCTTACAGTCTGTAAAGAGGGCTTCACGCGATGTGTGGAGGCTCTAGTGGGCTACGGGGCTGATCCAAATATTGCCGATGAACGTGATGGAACGTCACTGCACTTTATCCTGGCCAAGAGGAACATGAAACCTCTTTCACGGTGGACACCACAATTGAACAAGGTCGATATCCCGAGAGTGTCTTAGTTTGAAAATTATATATAGCTGGCCTTCCCCACAGTTCCATGAGTATGTGTCTGGAGCTGACAACAGTATTCAGGATGTCCCTGTCTTCATCACTGTGGCCTGTTTCCTGGTCAGTGAAGGAGCCAGTCTGGAGACACAATCACTGGATAGTGGAATAACGCCTCTGGATCTCTGTCGTCCTGAATACCACTCTCTACTGAAGATGTTTGCCAGACCTGAAAGGTAGTAGTCCTTAAGTCCCATTATTTTGTGTGTGATTTTACTTCGTTACTGCAGGAGAGGTAATTATAGAGGGAGTCTACCCAGACATCCTCCTCCTGTCCCCAGACACATCCAGACACAGGTTACCTATAGAGACCACAAAGCCGGCAATACCAGTACTGGAGGAGCTATTAGTTCTCCCGCTAACAAGGCTACCTTCACTAAAACTGCTGATCATGGAGCTGCTGGGCCACAACCGGATGACAGTGGTAGTTCTGAGCTACTACACAACACTGAAGCTTCTTTTCTTGCTAGTAAACAACACTCGTGACACAGTATGAGCAGTGTTTACTCTATGCTAATGTTCAGAGGGTGTGGGGGACTCCAACAAGACGGAGGAGAGTGAGGTGGAGTCTGTGACTGGACCAAGTTGCTTTCTCTGTGAGGGGCCATGTGATATCTCCTTCCAGCCATGTGGACACACTGCCATGTGTGCTGAGTGTGTCCAGAGTGTCAGTGTCAAAAGATGTCCCACATGTCGGGTCAGCTATATATATAATACTCATGATAGCCAATGGTGAAAGTTAAATCTTTCATTTTCAGAATGATGTACTGCAGAAAATCAAGATCTCATCCTAAAATAGTAGTTTTGGTTTGTCAAATACAAAATCTCAAAGACTGTACTGCAACACCAGCAGCAAAAATAATAATTGTATGCTTGGCTACATTTTATAGTTTTTAAGTGTGGATGATGGTTAGACCTAAAGGACAGAGAGAATGATCGCAGCTGAGGTGTGACCTATGTATATACTGCTCCCACAGGAGTATGAATGAGTTCACACAATGATCAGGTGCTCTAAGGGACAGTGTGCTATGATATATATAGCTGAGGCCTAGGCACAAAAATTGGCAAATGAAGATTTACCTAGTCGTCCGGATTGACTCTCTGTTCCATACACTGGGCGATGCAGTACACTGATTCAAAAGTCATGCTCTGTTTACTTGCACATGCTGTCATGGCCCAAATGTGCAGTAGTAGCGAGTAGGATAGAAGAAATGGGTGTGAACTCACCTACACTGGCTAGCTTCTGGACCTCTTCTCAGAGTAGGAGACAAGGAGGGTCACAAAGTAGGTGGAGCAGCCAAAGTCATTGGTCAGGTTCTCCTTGTCAAAGGTGGCTCCGTACTTGGCCAGGAGACACCCAGTGGACATGTAGTTCTCTGGAGACGGACGGCTCTGGTGCAGCTCCCTACTGATCTGTGGGGAAAACATCACAACACCACTGCTAACCATCTGTAGATGACATAATGCTTTTGGGTTGGTTCTTCATTTAAGACTAAGTTCGTGACTCAAAACTTAGTCTTAAATGAAGTAACAAAGCACTTTTGTGTAGTACGTCAGAGATTAATGTATATTATACCTGTAGTGTCAGTGGACTGTAGTCTGAGGGAGTTTTGATGCCGTCTTTGTTGGCAATGACCAGTTGTAGGGGGGTGTGGCCATCAACATCAGTCGCATCAGGGTTCGCCTCGCAGTGGACCAGAAGATGTTCGACGATTCGTGTGTGGCCATCGACAGCAGCGACATGCAGCGCAGTTTGTCGCTTCGTTTTGTTGGCTGCGTTCACGTCACACGCCTCCTGGAAATGAGACGAAACTTTACTGAATTTATCTCAAGTTGCTGAGGTATTATAAAACATGTTAAACTCCCACAAATACAACAGGCACAGGCACACTCTGCAGCTACTGATGGCCTGTTTACCTCTAGCCAGGGGGTATTACACTAATTATGTACAATATAGCACAAAGTGATGGCACACAAGTACTCTGTGTGTTAGGCTTTCATGACTTGTTGGTTATATATATATACCTTCTCAGCCAGGAGGCACACCAGGTCCAGGTGGTTGTTGGCAGCTGCCAGGTGAAGGGCACCGTTACCGTCTTCATCTCTCTGAGATTTGACCTCATCTGGATGACTCCCTATGAGCTGCTCCAGACCCCTACAGGAATATATAGCACAAAACATACAGTAAAACTATTCACATTCATAGCTCCGAACCATTTGCCAATTCAGCTGCTTTGCATGCAAAGGTCCTTGCATACATTTGCTTGATATGCAGAATCACTCTGGTTGAGTTTCATACACCCAACCAGGAGCAAACGCAGCAGCTGACAGAGATGCTTGCTTGATATAAAACTATCCATGAGTGAGAACGTCCAGCAGGAAAGCTGGTCCCAAAGACAACTTTAACCCCATCACACTTCGAATGGCTAGGGCTAGGGCTTCAATACTTAAAGTATTGAACGAACTACGTATATAGGGCTAGAACTTCGGTATTTACGTAGTTACAGGTATTAAAAATCAGAACATGCAGTAGGCTCTATATAAATATACAGAGTACATATGGAGGGGTGTGTAAAAATCAGAACATGCAGTAGGCTCTATATAAATATACAGAGTACATATGGAGGGGTGTGTAAAAATCAGAACATGCAGTAGGCTCTATATAAATATACAGAGTACATATGGAGGTGTGTGTGGGCGTACAGGTAGAAGCCAGTGGTTGCTGCAGCGAGGATGGGGGTGAGGTGGGCCTTGTTGTACACAGTCGGAGATGCCCCAGCCTCCAGTAGGGTCCTGACTGCCTCACTCCTGTGAGCTGCCACCGCCACGTGCAGCGCCGTATTACCATCCTGCTCCTGGAACAAAAATCAGTGGGCTTTTTTTTCTCGTCATAGCTAGATTTGTTTTATACTGCATCTTGCATTTGGGTGCATGTGTGCTCACTATTAGGCTACCATAAGAACGGAAACTGAAATAAACTGCTAAAAGGTAACTTGCAAATTTGTATTCTCCACGTTTTTAAAATGTCGCCAGCAACCACAGTACCGGTTGAGCACTTTATGCAGTTGATGTACTAGTAGGCTACTAGCCTGGAGGGTGTGGTCAAGACGACCGCTGGCCAGCAGTGATTTCATTACTCCGTAGTTGCCCAGGACAACTGCGTAGAGGAGAGGAAAGACCTTTGAGCGATTCTGAGCATTTGGATCAGCGTTCTTGGCCAGCAGACATTGTGCAATCTCCTCTCGATCTCTGAAAGAACAGACAAAGTTGGATGCAACTTCAAAATGTATGTCTCAACAACTTGGTAGCGAGGTAGAAAGGCAAGGCAAGGCAAACAAGTCAACTACACCCAGGACAGCTTTATGGGAGAAAGCCATTTCTATTGCATCGCACGCACACATCACACCCATACATTTGAAGTTGCATGCAACTTTGTCCACGCAACAAAGTTGCATCGTGGCCTCAAGCCAGACTCACAGATGAGCGCAGTAGTGAAGAGCAGTGTCACCTTCCTCGTCCTGTACAAACACCACACAATATCAGAGGTGTACAATACTGAATGTGTACACGTGCAATACCGGCTCATTGACGTTGGCCTTGAAGTCCAGGAGTAGTTTGACAACTTCAGGCCAGCCCTCAGCTGTAGCCACCAGCAGACCTGTCTTATCTTTCACTTTCACATCAACCTATAGATACATACATATGGCATCATGAAGATATAGTAAAACTACATTGTGCATACGTGTTTTAACAAACATGTACGGGCAACTTCTGTTGTTAATACTTAGACCTACCTGATCTACTGAGAGTTGGCGCATCATTATATGCTCAGTAAAATTACTGTTCACTGGACTTACAGAGGCACAGGCCTTCATTTATTGGTCCAAGAGGGGACAAATTAGCTTACTAATAGGAGGGGCAAACCCATGTGTTGTGTGCATTAAAAGGACTCCAAGGCCACCCCCTAAATTAACCCCTGATAGGTAGGTGAATACCTGTCCAGGGTTCTTGGTGAGGTAGTCTCTGAGAGTGGGCAGATGTCCAGCTGCAGAGGCAGCCACCACCAGGTCTGGACTGGAGAGCTTCACCAGGGACTCCAGCTGATTCCTCACCACCTCTGACAGCCTACTCCCAACTTCTGTATCTGTGGGCATTCGCAGGTGAGTAGCATACAGAGGTCTTTGTCATGTGTTAAACATTTGAACTCTGCCAGCTGGGTTGCCCAGGTAGTTCAGTTGGTAGTAAGACTGGGTTTGAATACCACAAAGGAGAGCTCTTTTTTGGGGGGAAAACCAGCTGTCCTGGGTGCAAGTGCTTTGTCTTAATTGCCTTTCTACCTTGTTGTAATCAACCCTCGGGAGCTCTTGAGTCATGAGTAGTGAGATCCTCACCCTGTGTGTCCTGGTTGTCGATCTCCTGACCCGCGACTGGCTGGAGGCAGGAGGGACAGTAGACCCACCTCCTGTCCCCCACTCCTACCTGGACATCTCCCGATGGCAGCACCTTCACCACCTTACCAGTCTGACCTAGAGACTGTGTGTGTGTGTATGTGTGTGTGTGTGTGTGTGTGTGTGTGTGTGTGTGTGTGTGTAAGAAGTAACTTGTATAAGAAAAGGAAAGACACGAAATGCTCAGCTATCACAACTCTTCCTATAGAGTAGGCCAGCCTAGAATGATGTTAGAAAAGCTTTGTAGCATTAGCAAAGATAATTTTCCACAAGGGCCTAGGCTCTAACTTCTAAGGCTAGCTACATGTCATAAATGTGCCCCATGTATGAATGAGTTAAGAGTAATGTACAACCATACCTCAGCCATTTCTTCGCGCCAGCCTCCATGTCCCTTCTGTTCTCTAGCGACCTGGTCTTTGTCTTCATTCACTCTGACTGCATCTCCCACCCTGTACACTGCTACACCCTCCACCTGCATATATAGTACAGTATATTTATACAGTATCTGTAGCGAATTATACTTAGCATAAAAAACCTCAGAAACCTTGTGGTTTTTAGTATCTCGCTAACACCAGTCCCCAAGGCATACGTTTGTATACATACCTTTGTGACGGCTGAGGGTTGACGGGGAAGATGGCCTGGCCTGGGTAGCTGACAATCAGATCTGCCAGAGTCTGTGATGTGCTGAACCACTCCTGTAGTCCCTATGAACTGAGGCAGACCAGAGAACATTTACAGAGACACACACCAGATTCATGGGGTGTCCTAAGAGAGGGGTTCCACTGTATAGTACAAGTTGTTCTGTCTTGTGTTTTTGTTTTTTGTATTGCGTTCTTTGTTCCCTTTTACCTCTATTTACTGTTTTTTCTCTACTCCTTTTGCTTCTCCCTATTCCTCTATTACATCCTCTATTACTAAAAAATCTTCACCTCAGACATGAGATCGTCCCAGTCCCCGTGGTCCTGCTGTAGCTCTCTCCACCTCTCCTGGTCACACTCCACCCTCACCTTGTCCCCTGCCACCAGCTCACTTCCTCCTCTCGCCAACTCTCCACCTATACTCATACAGAATAAAGCTAATGAATGAATATATATATAGCACTAAAGTGCAAACCCTCGGCGCACTGCGCATGCGTGGTACCGCTTACTGATGGACTGAACTATGATGAGCATGTGTTTCATACTTGTGGTCTCCCGCTAGTAGCTCGTGGAGAGTCTGACAGATGCTAGTAGATAGCATGTTTGTCCATTGTGACTTCTTCTGCCTCCGAGGTATATACACAATGTGGATCAGGTCGAGGCAAGCCAGTGCGAATATGCATATTCGCTTTTTCGCTAGTTTTCACATGGTAACAGACAGACGGAGTGGAGTGGCACTTAGAACTGTAACAAGCCAAGGGTTCTTACCACTATAGTTAAATTAGGCACAAACTTATTAATGCCCTCCAGGGATTAACTAACTAAACAAGTGTGTTTTTAGGGGAAATAGGGCCACACACACAAACTATACACTTCAACAACCATAGTCCAACATATTTCTTCCCTAACTTCAAGTTAACTCTAATACACTAGTCAAAAAACTTTGAAAAATATATTCAAACGTTTCGGTGACTATGCAGAATATATTTTTGACTAGTGTATTAGAGTTAACTTGAAGTTATGGATCCTCCTAGTCACAAAGGTCTTTTTGCATATTTCTTCCCTCTGATATATACATAGTAATTGTGACTTGCCTAACACGGGAAGATGTGGAGGGTAGTACACTCCACTGGCTGTGGGTTTTTCACATTTTAAATCAACCTGTGTGTATGGAGAAGATACACATGTATGCGCTCATGCTTATCAATACCTTTCCCTTGAGGCCTAGTCTGTAAACGTTTGGTTTATTTCCTCCACTCCACATAACTTGTACTGTGCTTCTCTGCAGGCATATATGACAGTGATTTTGAACAATTAGTATACAGGTGAGCCATCTGCTTACAAAACTTTCGTTTTTCCAGTTCCGGATCTCTATAACATCTCCAAGATTACCACTCCCACCTACATACACGACGAAGGACATGTAACACACACCTACACACCTTTATAGGGAAGGTGATATAATACATTGATTGGTGGCCAGTAAAGCATGAGTAAAAAGAATAACTAAAAGCCGTTCGTAAATTACTTCCGCTTCAACAAATTATTCCTCTACAGTGGTTTACCATCTTGGTCTTTCCAAGCTGGCTTCCAGTCGTTTCCTCTCACAACAACTGCTCCAGGGTATATACCACACGCCTGTACTCCATGCAAGACCTTTCGTGGCTGAACCTTCACCCTGTGAATAAAGAGTCACATGTACTAGAGACACTTGAGCTCAATAATGCCTATGCTTGATACAGTTCAGCCATAGATGAAGACTAGACTGACCAACCTGGGTCCACCATCTGTGTCAATCCTCACGAAGGAGTGGAAGGGACTGTGTTTCCCAGCCATGTAGCAACTGTTGCACAGACCACCACCCTCAAAACAGTGAACACACCTCCATAGAAATCCCCATACTTCTTGGCTACAACTGGAACACTTCACCAAATGCTGATGGCTCGTTCCTGGTAAAGGAGCATCTAACGGTGTAGCTGATAGAACTAGCGCGTATAATACCTATCTGCGCACAGTCCAGGACGCTGAGATCGAACTTGTTGTCTTTGCCACAGCGGTACCTACACCTCTGTCCCATGTCCCACTGGACTATCACTCCTCCTCCACCTTCCTCCACTCCAGCTACCGTCCCCACGAAACCCTCGCCGCCATCTTGGTCTCCCCACTCCCAGTCTGGTCCACGGACTACTCGCTGACCCAGAGCTGCCTCCATGTCCCGTCTCAGCTTCGCTCCACACCCACCACCACAGGGAAATTCCCTAATTTTACGCGCGTGCGCACTAGATATGAACCGTAGAAAAGGAATTGTATATACAATCATTCTGGGGCCCTCAATACAACAGAACTGCACAGTACACACACTGAAGACGATCTGGCAGCACAAACTGCAGAAAGACAAGTACCATTGTTACATTCACACACCATAAACTGGTCCATCTTTATGTACCTCTACAGAGCCTGTGGTGGTCTTTTCGGCAGGCTCCACGAGTCACGTCAGCCTTGTTCTTGAGGCACACCGGACACAGCTTTATGATATTCACCACTTCCTCCTGACAGGAAGAAATGGAAAAGACAAACTCCTACATCCGTCTTTTGGCTTGAGTTTTGAGAGTGTCAGCATCATAGCAGCACAGGGCTTGATTGCATCAAGAAAACTTTTTACATCAATTCAATTTTTAACCCGTATTGCAAAAGCATGAAAAGTGTGCAAAAGGTTCCATTTCTATGCTATGTGTTTGCATCGACTGTCACTGACCCTGCACTCTTTCTTCATGCATCTCTTGGCTCGCGAGCCACACAAGACACAGAGGGTCACGTGGCCGCATGGCTGGAGCATTATGGACACCGGCTCATCCTCACACAGACTGCATTGATCCAGCGTACATTTCCCTGAAACTGAATATGCAAGCATACTGTATACTTGGGTGTTAGTGGGTCCCACTCCATTACGTGATAGAACAATGATGCATTACTACATAAATATACCTGCCTAAGAAATACCGTATTTTGTGTTAAAAGCCATGACATGCAAACACAATCATGTGCCATACATGGCGCTAGAAAAATTCATGAGTTACTGTAATTGTTTTGCACTGAGAACAGGGGATAGTTTGTACCCACTGCTCACCAACAGTGTCAATGGCACTAGCAGCTGCCAGTTTGGCATATGGGTTGATGTCTTTCCCGTAGGTGAGCACCGGACTTGGCTGGTGTACTCATTGACTGAGCGATCCACACCACTTGTACTGGTGGGGACTGGGGTCATCGGTGGCAATGAGGAGGAGGAGGAGGGGAGAGGAGGGGATGTGGGGAGAGGGGAAGTGGGGGGAAGGGAGGCAGTGGGCGGAGTGGAAGATATAGTAGATGAAGATGAAGTCTCCACCACCTTCTGTATACAGTGAAAGAATGAGGAACATTACTATGTATGATACACTACAAAAACTCAAAGTTTGAGATTCTACTGTTACGTATGTATATACATGTATTTAGTAACTGAACGTACCAGTTGTTTATGGGGAGTTTTGGGGCAAATGTCGGCAAACGGACCCACTTTTTGACGGAGTGTTCCATGGAATGGAGGTCTAGATATGCAAAGAACAACACAAGCTATAAGAAACACCGGGGCCAGTCAAATCAGCCAAAGGTACCACTGCAGACACTACTGTCTAGCTGGTCTCTGTACAGAATATCTCACTAACGTGCACAATAGAGAACACACCTGCTATCGACGGCAGTAGAGTAGCGTGTGAACAGTTGGACCACGTCAGGCGGTTGGAGAGTGAGAGGGTGGAGGCCGAGTCGGTTGGCAGCATGGACCTTGGCCCCCTCCCTCACCAGGAACACACCCACCACCACTTCAGGCTGGAGGATGTCCTGGCCACACAACTGGTCAAGTTCCTTCTTCACCTGTAGCACATAAACCTCAACTGTCACAGAAGTACTGTATCTGTCACAATTTGGCCATCTGTACTCTTTGAGTCATATCTTCACAGCCATACATGCCCAGGTTTATAGCTTTACTTGTACGTATCACAATGTAGAGTTCATCACATTGAAATTTTACTGTCAAGCTGATAAGGACTGTTCAGTACCTCCAGTATATGAGGGGAGAGAGGAGAGGGTGCAGCCATGTTCTTGCGGGCCAGAGTGAAGTGGAGAGCAGTGTTCCCCTCCCTGGTGGCACAGTTGAGGTCAGCTCCATAGCCCACCAGTCTCTCCAGCATGGCCGTCTCTCCACCGTGGGCAGCAAGGTGGAGGGAAGTCAGTCCGTCTGTGTCGTCCACATTCACTTCACAGCTGGGCTGTGTGGAAATATAAATACTCTCTTTCACTGGCTGTGTTTAAGCAAGGGTGTTCAATGGTTAACTCTCAACACACAGGTATATACACCTTAGGACCCGTTTTAAGTGTGCGTATGAATCGTGGGTTTTTCTGCCAGGCGTAATTTTCTATTTATAGCACACCCTATGCGTGTAACTCTGCACCCCAGATTAACAATTTCGCAATGACAAGTAAAATACACAAACGTAATCTTTAGACTATGCAATAGTAACTGGTCCTACAGTACACCTTGTTTTGGTACATTTAAGGGTGCAAAGATGGAACTTTGACTTAGCAAAATAGCTTTAGTTTTGATTTGTGTGTCTCCAAAAGAAGTGCCCACTCACATGTGACAGAAGGAGAGACACAATGTCAGTGTGTCCACTGACTGCAGCCATGTGCAGGGGAGTGAAACCGTCCTTCTTGGCCTTGTTGATGAGGTCCGGGTGCCACTTCATTAACTCTTCCACTCCACTGTAGAATTATGCAGGAGATGGATACCCACCCATTGAGTCACCAACATTTCACCCAGTCAACGCTTGCAGGTTATTTCCACAGCACACTTCAGCAATGGTAAAGGCGGTTAGTTGGCCTTTTCCCCCAACTTTATTACAAAAAGTAATCTTTTCATATATTACACTAAGTCAAGATATTCAGTATGGCTAGTTGGTCTGTCCTTTCATGTTCGTATGTACCGCCCTATGTTCCACAGTCATAAGAATGTTCGCACTGCACTCTCCAGCTATAGTCAAGTTGTTCCACGTCGTTAGTTGTTCTGTCCTTCACCTAACCTTCTTGCTAAAAGTACGAAATATTTAGGTCGTCCTAGTCCATTTTTCTTAGGCTAAAGACAAGTTGTTATTGTGGATTTTTTGTTTTGCCTGTCCTTCCACAACTTGCATTGCAAGTACAAAAACCTTTGGCAGTCCTATTAACTACAAACACGGTATGGCAGTCCTATTAACTACAAACACGGTATGGCAGTCCTATTAACTACAAACACGGTATGGCAACTATTGTACAACACATTATGCTAACTCACGCCAGAAATCCGAGGGCAGCTGCTCTGTGCATGCAGTTATGGAGGCTGTGATTGGGAATTGTGGGGTCAGCCCCTGCATTCAGTAGGGCAATCATCGTCTGGAGCTGGTGATTGACGATGGCTCTATGGAGAGGTGTGCTGCCTTGGCAGTCCTGGAAGAGCACATTATTTCATGTTGTGTTCCAATCAATGTAAACACAGGGCAGCTCTTTAAGTATGGTCATGTATTGCTGTTATATAGGTATTGCTTTCTCGAGCTCATACTTCACTTACCGCTACTCTAGATGAATGCAGCACATTCTTAATCCTTGCGCACTGAGGCACTGAGGATAACACTACTGTAAAAATGCTTTCCTCCCTCACTTGCAACAAGCAGATTGAAAGTATAGAAAAAGTACGGTTGGCTTGCTGCGTCTACTGGAGAATGGGCGTGTCAGCACACCTGTTTATTAGGGTTAGTTCGATGGTGATCCAGTAGAAGTTTCACAACCTCAAGATACCCCAGTGCGGCAGCCCTGGCAAGCGGGGTGATTCCCCGATCGTCACCAACGTTAGGATCCGCACCCCCGCCCACTAGCAGCTTAGCGCCCTCCGCACTGTTACTGGTCGGACAGAGACATGTGTAGTCTCACAATTATAAGGAATTGCATTTTTGCAACTTACACGATGACGCACAGTTGCAGAGCAGTAAGCTCGCCTTCATTCTATAGTGAGGACATAATAAACACAACCAACAGCTCCTTCCATGAGGGGGTATATATAATGCTTCCTTCTTTTTCTGGAGCCTCTTTTTTCAGTCAAGACAAATGAACGTTATAAAAGTTACCTTTTTGTTGAGATTTGCTCTGTGAGAGATGAGGAGTTTAATGATGGGCAAATAGCCTTCCATGGCTGCTGTGTGGACGGCTGTCTTACCCTCGTACACCGTGTCCCCTACAGAAATATTTCTTGTGTACCTTGGGCTGGTGGGGACACATCATCGATTGGCTCTAAAGCCACTAAACTTTGTACAACGAATGCAACACATCTTTGGCGAGCGAACGCAAGTTGCTCAATTTTTCACGTGCATATTTAGAATCACGTCAAACATTACATCACAAAACTTCACCTGTTAAAACCTTATGTCTAGATAATATCTCAATTCTGACAAGAGGTGTCACTAACATGCTCGGGGTGGTAGCGGAGGTACTTGGTGAGAGTGTCCAAGTCTCCGCCAGCTGCAGCCACCACCACCAGATCGGGACAGCCGGCCTCAGACAGAGACAGTGTCTGGATCCTCACCGCTAGGTCCACATGCAGCTCCCCTGCATAGTTATTGTGGGGTGTGGAGGCAAAATCTAACACACACATCCTATACTATCACTTAGTAAGGTGGCTTGTATCAAGGCAATATGAAACACAGATCCAATACTAAGGCGGTATAATATTATACGTAGGCTTGAATCGAGGCAAAATCCCAATAATAGTACATACGTTGGGGCTTGCATACAAATATATGGGGCTATGATAGGTGTCCATAGGCTCCAAAGACACCACCGCAGTGGTTTTCCTTGTGCTCGACAGCTCCACTCTCTTCTACTACAGACCACACGGCCGGGAAATCAAAGTACCGTATAGCTCGTAAATGGCGTGATAAACAACTTGGGGATACAAAGATCACATATAGAATATCCGAAATGAACACTGCCACTACTATAATGGCTGTGTGCTCTAGTTTTCAGCTACTATTATTTATACGTCACTGGTGACCTGTCCTTTCCTCGATGGGTGTCTCCCCGGGAGCTGGACTGAGGCACTTTGGGTTGAGAATCCAGCGACTGCCGTTGACCGCCACACGAATGTCTCCGTTGGCCTTCACTTTCATCACCCTCCCCACCTGCCCCAGAGACTGGGGGACACACAATGACACACTCCCTCCATGATAAGTTCATCACCCTCCCCACCTGCCCCAGAGACTGGGGGACACACAATGACACACTCACTCCATGATAAGTTCATCACCCTCCCCACCAGCCCCAGAGACTGGGGGGACACACAATGACACACTCACTCCATGATAAGTTCATCACCCTCCCCACCAGCCCCAGAGACTGGGGGACACACAATGACACACTCACTCCATGATAAGTTCATCACCCTCCCCACCTGCCCCAGAGACTGGGGGACACACAATGACACACTCACTCCATGATAAGTTCATCACCCTCCCCACCAGCCCCAGAGACTATGGGGTGGTATTCGTGTCAGTATTCAAACGTCGATTTTGCCGAGGCATTTCCGTTTTGCCGCGGCAAAATTAAACTGCCGCGGCAATTGCCCCGGCAAAACCTGGGCCGAAAAATCCGGGACATTTGCCGCGGCAAGAATAACTAGCTGGGCCATGTTCAATCGTGTCAGTATTCTTGTCGTTGCCGGGCCTTTTGCCGCGGCAAAAGTGCTCTTGCCTGGGCAATTGCCGCGGCAAATGGCAATTTGCCGAGGCAAGAGCACTTTTGCCGCGGCAAAAGGCCCGGCAACGACAAGAATACTGACACGATTGAACATGGCCCAGCTAGTTATTCTTGCCGCGGCAAATGTCCCGGATTTTTCGGCCCAGGTTTTGCCGGGGCAATTGCCGCGGCAGTTTAATTTTGCCGCGGCAAAACGGAAATGCCTCGGCAAAATCGACGTTTGAATACTGACACGAATACCACCCCATAAGAGACTGGGGACACACAATGACACACTCACTCCATGATAAGTTCATCACCCTCCCCACCTGCCCCAGAGACTGGGGGACACACAATGACACACTCACTCCATGATAAGTTCATCACCCTCCCCACCTGCCCCAGAGACTGGGGGACACACAAGGACACACTCACTCCATGATAAGTTCATCACCCTCCCCACCTGCCCCAGAGACTGGGGGACACACAATGACACACTCACTCCATGATAAGTTCATCACCCTCCCCACCTGCCCCAGAGACTGGGGGACACACAATGACACACTCACTCCATGATAAGTTCATCACCCTCCCCACCAGCCCCAGAGACTGGGGGACACACAATGACACACTCCCTCCATGATAAGTTCTTAGTACACAACACAGCCATCCCAGTAGTTAAGGCAATATGCATGAATAGCACACCTAAGAGAAAGCTATTACACACCTATAGAGTGCCTGACTTTCATGCAAACAACAGTGTTTAGTCTTTATCCTCAATCCTTTTATCTGGTAGAGCCCTCGCCTAGAGCCTAGACTACACATTGTCGTAGGTTCGAACTACACCATGAGAACCACTTCTTTCTTTATAAAGTTGTTGTGGGCGTGGTTTTGGTGTTTGCCTTGCGACCTTGTTGCTGACACGTGACTCCCAATCACTAATAGAGGTTCTCAGAATGCTCACTGTTCCACTTAATCATACTACAGAGCCTTCGTTTGTACGTACATAAGTAAATATATGTATACCAGAGCAATGTCATCGGCCCACTCTCCATGACCATCCTGCAGTTGATGAACTAGGGTCATATCGTCACTCACTCTCACCGCATCACCACACTGAAAACTGTTCCCTTCCACCTGGATTGATACATACGAACATCGATAGGATCATTCCAGTGATAAATACACACATTGTACATTAAGTAGGATCATCACTCGAGATGGAAGTATCGTAGACGATAAAAACTGTTAGCAAGTACCGTTGTTCCTTGTACTACGTACCTTTGAAAGGCATTGGCCGTTGACCTCTAAGCTGACACCATTCTTGTATCGGACCACCACGTCTCCAGAGTAGTGGATGGCTTGGACCACACCATCACAACCAATGTACTGCAGACATGAACACCGAGCCACTAGCAATTGCATCAGTACACAAACCGGGACACTTTATTGGCGAGCATGTGACAACAACGAGGGGCAAAGGCAAAGCCAACAAGTCGACTACTACATACATACACCACGGTTTGCTGTACAGTACTGTGTCTGTGTCAGGGGAGTATTACGCACGCTTTCTTTGAACATTTCAAATGCAGCAGTTATGTTGAGAGAGACAGGTCGGTCCATAAGTATACAACATACCTCAGCCATGAAGTCTTCCCAGCCTCCGTGGCCTTCCTGGGCAGACTTGAACTCTCCAGGGTCCAGTTCCACTCTCACTGTATCCCCTGTTCTCAGTTCTCCCTCGTTCATGTCACTGCTCTCCTCTCCTATAGTGGGGGGTACAGTGGGTTCAGAGCCACGTGGTAATATGTTATACTCAGTTGAGTGAGTTGGTATGGGGCAGCTATAGCACAAGCACCATACCCAAAAAGAAAACTGTGTATTTATCCACTGTATAAAGACATGAACACGTTCTTTGGAGTTCCATAGTATGTGGATAAAAAGTGGGTGGCTGTGTACACCAACACATGATATTGAAAGCACACCAATTCACTCATGTATTACCTAGAACAGGGAGGTGTTCAGGGTAGTAGAGGCCACCAGAGGCTGGCTTTACACACTGAAGATCCACCTATATGTAAAACAAACAGCAACATACTGTACTATGAACCATGTGTGGCAAGTAGAACATCATTCAGCCAGGTCTATGCATCCGTGTCCGCGTTTACATACTTCCATCAAGTACAAATATCAGGATATGTCCCAAAACGCAGTGTTGCATTGGCTATTTCATTCATATGAAAACACAAAATATGGCAAGTGCTGTCTCAGGCTCATTGTACCCCATTCATATCTACAGCACCATGCATTATGTACGTATCTATGAACACACACACCATGCCATTATGTCCAATGCAGTAGAGGTTGAGGACTTGTGAGTGAGCCCACATCACGTGAGCTACACTTCTCTGCAATAGACAGACAGACAGACAGACAGAGAGAGAGAGACAGTACAGACAGACAGACAGAGACAGACAGACAGACAGGCAGGCAGACAGACAGAAAAAGAGAGGGAGAAGTCTATCTGTCCAGCCCTATTAAGATGTGGAGGTACTCACGAAGCTGGTTTTCTCCCAGCCTTCAATTGCACTGACTTTCCCCTGACATCCTATTCCACCTGCACAATGTCACAGATTTAACATTAATTAGCAGGAATTTATAAACGTAAACAGCCACACTGCGTAATAGGTGCTCGGGGCACAACTCATTTCGTGTACAAGAGAGTTGAAAATTTGGTCCCAAAACATACAGAATACAGTAGTTAGCTTTCACTACTGATATGGGTGTCCAACTAAAATACTACGTAGCTACATATAGTGCACACCAAGAATAAATTGCTGTGTCAATGCAAAGCACTATAATTATAGCCCCATACATCTATGATGCTAGGTACCGTGCCAATCCCTATATACTAAGTACTACCGTACTTAGTGATAACGTCTATGTACTACTTACCATCCTGATCTTCCCAGCGCCAATCAGCTCCCCTCATCACAGCTGCCCCTGTGAAGATTCCCTGGGACTCCACCCTCCTAGCCACCATCCTGCTACCAACTCTCACACTGTTTGGACTAATGCATGGAAAGTGAAGGTCTACTAACATACATACATCCAGTAGGCATCTGTTTACTAACAATGAAGAATGTACAGTCACTGACTTATATATGTGCACTTTCTCTGAAAACCATCCACAGACTGGCTCTAAACCTGCTGACCGGTGGCTGTCTGGTGTGTCTAGTCTCTGGAACTGGTGCTCCAGACAGTGTTTCCCAGAGTGGTAGCACTGGCTGCACAGAGAGTATCTCGGACAATGCACACACCGCCACAGAGTCCCAGTGATTGGAGACACAGGGCACCAGTTGCACGACCACCCTTCATGCTGTACACCTGCACAGAGTGATGGTGGGAGGCCCCTACTCATTAACCGAGCCTTTACGTAAGAGCCTTCTAAAGTCTCTCTCCAGTTGATGATCCATTGGGACAGGGGTGTGGCAGGTTTATAGAGCCATGTCGTGGAAGCCAAAATTGTATAGGATCGTATCATACACACGGGAGGCTAGTACGACTGAAAAAATACGTAGCTCTACTGACTGTACCGACCGCGAACCTGCAGGGGCTGTATCAAGGACCCGAAGGTCGTACTTTCCTCCGTAGCCACAGCAGTACGAGTGCCGGTTTGCCGTGTCCCACTGGACGGTGGCCTTCCCGCTGCCCTCCTCCTGCCACACCACCGTCCCCACGAACCCCTCTCCCCCGTCCTGGTCACCCCAGTCCCAGTCGGGACCTCGGACAACACGAACTCCCGACATTTGCTTTCTTTTATGCGCATGCGCAAAAAACCAGCCCCTCCTTTTTGTAGTCTAGCCAAGGGCCAGCCCCTACTGATGAGACAATTAATTTATAACCAAGAGTAATGCATTTGTATGGCTACCTATGTACATGCTAGCTACATGAGTCAGTTTAGCTAATTTGATGAGCTACATAGTTCAGTGGCAGTAGACGTCTAGCTACTGGCTGCTGACATACTTGTAGTTCTGCGATGTGTAACAGTTGTTGAGACACTCGCTGTTTCCAGCACAGTTGCATGCGTTGCTTGTGTAGGACGGGTAGTCTCCGTTGTACAGATAATTATTCCCATTTTTGTCATCCTCTTCACGATCAAAAAGAAAGTTGCCACCATTCCAGCCAAATCCAAATGGGTAGCTGCCACCATAGTAGCTGCCATAGGGGAAAAGTCCACTCGTCCCCCACTGAAATGGACTCCAATTTGTCCAGGGACCATCATCTCCATTATTGACCACTATGTTTCCTCTGCAAGTGGGAAGAACGCAACGTTAATACGGATTTTAGTGCACAGCACAGTAATTGTACAGTACCCTGACAATGGCTGAGAATATCCGGGTGTCATAGGTCTTGGACCAGGTCTAGTGGGGCGCACTGGTCTTTGGCTTGGTCCTGGACCACCAGCTGGTCCAAAATTTACTAGCGGTGTGCCTGGATTTGGTCGTGGTCGGCTTGCACTTGGTGGAAATGGTCGTGGTTGGCCGGCATTTGGTGGAAATGGTCGTGGTTCACCTGGATTTGGTCGTGGTCGGGCTTCACTTGGTGGAAATGGTTGTGGTTCACCTGGATTTGGTCGTGGTTGGCCTGCATTTGGTGGAAATGGTCGTGGTCGACCTGGATTTGGTCGTGGTTGGCCGGCGTGTGGTGGAAATGGTCGTGGTTCACCTGGATTTGGTCGTGGTTGGCCTGCATTTGGTGGAAATGGTCGTGGTCGACCTGGATTTGGTCGTGGTTGGCCGGCGTGTGGTGGAAATGGTCGTGGTTCACCTGGATTTGGTCGTGGTTGGCCGGCATGTGGTGGAAATGGTCGTGGTTCACCTGGATTTGGTCGTAGTTGGCCAGTATTTGGTGGAAATGGTCGTGGTCGACCTGGATTTGGTCGTGGTTGGCCGGCGTGTGGTGGAAATGGTCGTGGTTCACCTGGATTTGGTCGTGGTCGGGCTTCACTTGGTGGAAATGGTTGTGGTTCACCTGGATTTGGTCGTGGTTGGCCTGCATTTGGTGGAAATGGTCGTGGTCGACCTGGATTTGGTCGTGGTTGGCCGGCGTGTGGTGGAAATGGTCGTGGTTCACCTGGATTTGGTCGTGGTTGGCCTGCATTTGGTGGAAATGGTCGTGGTCGACCTGGATTTGGTCGTGGTTGGCCGGCGTGTGGTGGAAATGGTCGTGGTTCACCTGGATTTGGTCGTGGTTGGCCGGCATGTGGTGGAAATGGTCGTGGTTCACCTGGATTTGGTCGTAGTTGGCCAGCATTTGGTGGAGCTGGTCGTGGTCCTGTGTATGGTCTCATGGGAAATGGTCGTGGTTGGCCGGCATGTGGTGGAAATGGTCGTGGTTCACCTGGATTTGGTCGTAGTTGGCCAGCATTTGGTGGAGCTGGTCGTGGTCCTGTGTATGGTCTCATGGGAAATGGTCGTGGTTGGCCGGCATGTGGTGGAAATGGTCGTGGTTCACCTGGATTTGGTCGTAGTTGGCCAGCATTTGGTGGAGCTGGTCGTGGTCCTGTGTGTGGTCTCATGGGCTGTGGCCTTGGTCTGGCTTGACCAGGACCAGGCTGAAAGGGGGCACCAGGGAACAACTCAGAAGGAATTCCACCAGAGGGAGGCATGGGCCTGCCAGGCCAATCAGAGCGATCCTTGCCGCCCCTTTGCAGAGCTGCCAGCATGATAAGAAGTGACATTCATAATAAACACACATAAATCCAACAGCTTACCCGGAGCTCCATTCACAATAGCAGCCAAGGCAAGTAAAAGCAAAACCTTGGTCCTCACCATTGCTTCTAGGTTGGTGCACTTTGAAAACAACAGAGGGAGCCAGATGTTGCTCTGCTAGGATGTAAGTGACAACATCGTCCACGTTATATACCTTTGCACATACTCTTTATCCAGCTTCAATTGTTCACTATAGCACACAGATCTTTAGATTTTCACATCATTGTGCATTGTCTGTCTCTTTAGATTATTGTCAGTTGATCAGTCTACCTGCTTCCCACTCACTAGTAGACATTATTTTGCGTCACTGCCCACACCTACAGACTACAAGTGTGGGCAGTTCCAGTGCACCGACGATGTGTGCTTTGTCCCACACTGCATTGTGTTTTCCCAGCAGGATGATGTCATTGTCTTTTAGTCGAGGTACGTAGTTACGCGTTTCCACTGCCACTCACAAGGACAGGATGAGTTGACTAGCTACTAGGCAAGGTCTTGCATGTAGATATGCAAATCTCGATCATGCAACATTCAACACAGTGCATTGTGTTCTCAGGATGCATTGTCTTATAATAATTATAGTCGAGGTAGGTATTCCCACTGCCACTCACATATTTACGTTGACAGAATGAGTTGACTACTAGGCGATGTCTTGCATGTAGATATGCAAATCTCGATCATGCAACATGCGCATTGTGTTCTCAGGAGAATGTCATGCATTGTCTTATAGTCGAAGTAGGTGTTCCCACTGCCACTTACATTGGCAGAATGAGTTGTGACTACTAGGCTAGGTCTCGAAGAAAGTGGTTTGTAGACATACAATGATAGAACATTGTATGGTATCGATGTGATGACTAAGATGAACAAGTGAATTCTCTGCAGTTTATTTGTATACGACTTGCACGTGACATCGGTATTGCATGCGCACTACACTACAATGATTTACTTGCTGTTTATCAAATGATATCATAATTGAGACACAACTAGCAACCTACATATATACACAACTTAGCTTATGACAGCCCTACAGTTCATTCTATTACATGTATGCATCGTTCAAGTTCTATAGCTATGTATATCTTGGTCCCTGGGTGTACGAGTCACTCCACTTTTAAGAAGAGAACTTGTAAGATTGGCTTGACTCGCACTCAATGATGCAGCGAGAGTTCCCGTTGCAGTTACAGAAGCTGTTGTAGTACGATGGATACTCCGAGTTGTAGATGCTGTTATCTCCTCCACCCATCGCCCCAAATCCCCTCCCTCCATAGCCATACAGAACATCATATCCCCTCCATGGGTCGTAATGTCCATAAGAGTGCGGGTAGTCTCCCCAATAACCACCGTAACCGTCCCACACATTAGCACCACTAAAAAGAACATAATACGCATATGAAATACAGAGATGAACTGGTGGTTAAGTTAACTCCTATACCGTGGTCCAGGAGGTAACTCGTAGGGGCCATAAGGACGGGCTGAGGCTGTTCCTATCACCAGCAGTGCAGCTATCAGAGCAAGAGCAGTATATCCCGCCATTCTTCCAACTCAGAAACCAGGAGTAGTTCAAGCAGTTACAAATGTAAAAGCAAGTGCCGTAATAGCTTGCGGGCAAGATCATATCTGCATTTTATACAGGAGTATCGCTGTATGTCATGGTGCAGAGAAAGGTTGGTTTTATTTGTGATGACGTCTGGAGATCTGTGTGCCCTCGTTAATTACTGTCATTACAGCCTTCCCATTGTTCAATCATTAATACACTATTGTCACCTGAGAAAGGCTGTTGTTCCACTTTTCATGGAAGGGTTACTTCAACCCAAATTAACTATTATGTCTAACTAACCAATGTGTAGGTTCTACAGTATGGCACAATGAGGCAGGACAATCAGTGCTATGTAATCGAGACTCTCTGTTGCCATTTTCCCCTTCCACACATTGGTGACCTGACGTGATTGATAACCACCTGCTACCCATAATGTTCATCCACTTTCATCGCCACGTATATACACCGACTACAATTCAACACGCAATTGACCATTCTGAAGTATGATAAGGACATTGATAGTGGAACAATACTTGGTGGCTCTAAACAAGGTTGTGTTCTATATTATTATTGTTCATGATACATGATGAATCTAGTACTGCCGGTAGCCAAATTTGTAATGTGGAGAGTAGTGGCAAGAGATCATGCAGCTGCTGCCAGAGTCACAGTTGCAGAAGCTGTTTGAAACGTATGGAAATGGGTCTTGGTTTGTAGAGAAGTGAGGCTGGCGATGAATGTATCTGTAGGGAACGAATGGGAAGGGACGCCCGAAAGGAAACTGGTAGCGAGGGGAAAAAGAGTGGAGAGGTTTATGGAAAGGAAAGTAGCCTCCATTATGCAGTAGGAGAGTTCTTTGTGTGTTCTTGTTGTGGAACATGAGGTTTGTGACGACTGATGCACTACTGCAGATGGAGGAAGAGGGATTAGAGATACAGTATGAGTCATTGAGAACCTCTGTGGGGTGGTATGATCCTCTGTAGCAGGGTTTGTTGATGGTGCAACATCTGGTAGAGGACCATTGGGCAATGGGCCTATCCCATTGGATAATGGTCCCTCAAACAGTGGCCCATTAAAGAATGGTCCTTCAGGTACTGGCCTATTAAAGAGTGGTTCATCAGGTAGTGGCGCATTGGGGAGTCCCTCAGGTAGAGCTCTGTTTAAGAACTGTCTTTCAGGCAGTGGCCCATTAAACGACGGTTGTTCAGGTAGTGGCTCATTAGAGAATGGTCCTGCAGGTAGTGGCCAATTGATCAACTGCCTCTCACCAGCTCCAGTAGTAAACTGTCTAATACCAGTGGGCAATGGCTCATCAGGTACTTGCAGGGGCCTACTGGGAGGTAGTGGCCTTTCAGGTACTCGCATGTCAGTCTCAGCTGCAGTATAGAGTCGTAGAGGCACACCACCAGGGGTGGTTTGCTCCAGATCGGTGATTGGGTACAAACTTGGTTCAGGTAAAGCAATCGACTGAGCATCTTTTGCTGCAGAAAAGTCGGTACTCTTCAGCAGTTATAGTTACTGAGTTTTCTTACCTGATAGAGGAAGGGATAGGGCTTGACTGAAGATAGAAAGGAGCAGAAAGGCCCAAGGTATGATTTTATCCATCTCTGAGCTCAGTTGGAGAAACACGCTTGTGTATGAGCAGACTTGTGAACATAGTCTGCTGGGGACGGTTAGCTATATATCAAGACTGTTATGGCTGTGTCACCTATGGTAATGCCTACTGTCTCCAATGCTCCTACCTGGCCCCTGCCAACTCTACTGTTGTAAGAGGACCAAGCAACAATGTATCCTTATTCACTGTGCATTCTCAATACTGGCCATTGTTGCGGGTGTCACTCCGCAAAATGCACAATGTTTACTTCTGAATTGTGAAAACAGGATTCAGGAACCATTTGGACGCCATAATAATTATGATAATATAACATATTAACGCCTAGTATTATAGCCCCACATAAATTCTTATAGGTTTATGGAAGCTCTGGACATGTCCATGGCTTGCTAAGGGTTTTAAGAAACATGACAACCCCAGAAGAAGGAATCGTGTTTACTTGGATTTAGCCTTTTATTCCCACACCTTCAGTTTGTGTTGAACAAACACGGATCTCCAATGTCAATATAAGATGGAGTTATTTGGGTTAAGGTGCCACTCAGACGTCCCACTATACGTTCGTGTTTTAATATCTTTGTTATCATAATCTACATGAAATTAATTTGTGATACATAGATTTCATATCGAGTTCTTTACAGTGATAGAGTTCAGAGCAGATAGCAAATATCTAGAGATTATAGCTACTAGCCCTGCAGGTACTGGTTGTAGTAACAGGTGGTGAGGCAGTTGATGTCGGTTGCAGTGCAGCCACAGTTAGTAGTAGTGGTGGCTGCAGCAGCAGACAATGGAACATTGGTGGTGGTGGTGGGAGGAAATCCAGTTAATACTCCAGGAGTGTAGAATGGAGCATAGGGATAGTACTGATAGGAGTAGTAAGGGTAGTTGTAAGGGTAGTTGTAGTAGGAATACAGATACGGGTAGGCCAGTCTGAAAGGACCAAGAGATAGCTAATGTAGGAAGGATAAGGTGTACGTGTACCTTGACCTGCGCCTGCTTCTCCTGGTAGAGAATACTGTTGGATAGAGTATCTGGCGTTTCTTCCTGTGCAGTCGCGGGTCCGTCTTATCTCCCTCCTCTTCTTCAACAAACCTACCTGAGCTCTCCAAAGAGCTGGATTTTTCATCCTCCTTATAGTCTTCCCATATCTCTTCAAATTCTGCAACTTTGAACATCTTCCAGTCCCAATCACACTGATAGCTACAAACAGTTACCTTTGATTGCAGCACCTTGAGACAGACACACAAAGGCCCCCAAGCAGAGAAAGGCAAGCAGGAAAGCAAATCTCAGTGCCATCTATAATTCCTTCAGTCGGTATATACAAAAAGCTGCAATTGCACGTAGCGTAAGACTCTCGATGTCCACCTCAACTTATAGGCTGAGTGTACTGACTGTGTTACCAAGGATGAGGAACTGTGTTAGTCACAGCAAACTACTATGAAGTCAGGTGTGTCTTACTGCCATGACTAGCCGTCCGTTACTACTTCCCTTGTGCCCACACCAAATTCAACACGACTAGACTACATACACAATTAATTTTAGGCAGTCAACAAATACTCTATCCAAGTTTAAAGCTTATTGCAGTATCGTTGCTGGACGTGAACTGAACCCCCGGGACCGGCCCAAAATTAGTTGAAGCGTGTAATATCGGTGCATGCGCATAACTATGACGGTTTATATAAGTATAGTAAATTCCACCCGAAGAAACCACTAGAGGGAGGGGGGGGGGCTCACGGAGTCGTTGCCTTGCCCACTCTCGATCTCGTAATCGTCACTGCAAAAGACGAGCCTCTTGGTTGTTAAGACAGGTATATACCATTAGGATTTTTCAACCAGATACATTTTGGTGAGGAAGTGCAAACAGTCCATTTTTGCACAAATACCTTTAGACCCAGACCGTGGCGGGGTTGAGTCGCGCATGCACACGGTGGCATCAGCGTATTTATAATGATGTTCAGAATCATTGCGGTATGTGCAGCACACGTCACGCATTATAAAAAATCCCGCATTCAGATGACTAGGTACACTCTCTTTGTTAAAAAAAAAACCGTAGAGTAATATATAGCTATAAAATTTGGGATTTCTGGTGACTAAAAATGCAAAGGATGTTTATTCTGTCATTTTACAACAGGAATTGATTATTTTCTCTCCTAGGATACTCCAGTTACCAATACCTGCAGCAACAGTACATACAATAAGTGAGCCACATTCTAGAGGCCTTTCTAGTTCTCTTATGTACCTTACAAATGGGACAGCGCTTTGCTCGACTGGCACAGGTCTTGCAGGCAACGTTGTGCCCACATGGAGCGAACCTTGCGTTAGCTGGACTCTCACATACGAAACACGGCACTGGAGAAGACAAAAATTATACCTAGAGCTATGTACAGCAGTTGCCAACGCTCATGTCATGTGTACCTGCAGCACTTGCTCCGTCCTTAGCGTTAAATTGAGGCTGTGTAAGTGGTTGAAAAGAAGTTCCTTTTCCTGTACTAACACTACCACTGTATTGCTGCTGTCTATTCTCTTTCTTTCTCTCCTCTGTGCCAACTGTCTTTCTCTGGACCTGCTCACTGTTCTCATTCGCCCTTCTCTTCTGTTCTTTCCCACTGTCATCCTTCACGGAGTTTGCACCACTACTTCTCAATGTTGGCCTGGACGCACTCCCCTTTGCTTTATTTTCAGCCAATTTTCTTGCTTCTGGCTTACTTTCGGCAGTCTCACTAGGTTGTGGCTTACTCTCCTGCTGTTTTACTAGTTTGGTGCCTACTTTCCGCAGTATCTGGGCTACCAAGTGATGCTGCTTGTTGTCCCCTTGTCTTGGTGTCCACCACTTCTACCGTGTGCTGATTCTCAGTCACCCTACTTCCTTGTCCAGTAGTCAGTGAGGCAGACACAGTAGCCTTTTTCTTTGCTGCCTGTGAGGCAGAAATACGCCTGTCGGTGTTTCCTAATTTGCTCCCTCTCATCGGCACTCGGGATACGTGGCTCCTCGCTCTCACTCGTTACTTCTTTTCTTTTGGTCTCTTGCAACCGTAGTCTGTCTCTCTCCCTCTGGCTCTGTCTTCCTGCCCCTCCTCCTCCACTTCCTCCACCTCCTCCTAGTTCCTGATGCTGGGCATCCATAATGCTTCCGTGGCCACCGCCGAGACGACTGCCGCTAACCCTAAAGCCCCCACTCCCTGCCACGATACTGTGCTGCTGAGATATTGTGGCCGAGTCAGAGATGATACTTGGAGAACTGCTCGGCACCTGCACACACCCACACATTCTTAGCATACCTTGAACGAATGCCTCACATTATTGGGGGGAAAGCACAACTTTTCGCACATGTTTAGAATGACGTTCACTTTTTCGTGCAATCACATAGAACATTACGGTTTGTGCCGTGCCCCTCATGTATACAAATACCGAAAATATCCTGGATTCGGATGACTAGGTAGACACACTTCGCTCGCCAATCAGCTAACAATAGGAGATCTAATGAACAGAACTTACACTGGGTTTGTTGTCAGTTTTGCTGGCAGCAGAGGTTCTGTCTCTCCTCAGACTCCCATGAAACTCACCTCGACTGTGGCAGTACACACAATGGGTGCAGTATAATTATCAAGCAAGCAAACAGTGATACAGTGGGGAGCATACATGAGGCAACTTGGTTGATTCAACAGAAGACTTGCAGCAACTTCCAAAGTATTGGAATAATAGGGCCCAGGCAACAGTTTTTGTCAGAAATAGATGGCTTTTCCATTTCTGGCAATTTGTCGCCTGGGCCCATCATACCCAGTAAATATTTGAAGTTTTGCTGAAGTGACTAAGTTTCCTCGTATTATAGTCTAACTTGCTCTTGTTGACATAGTTGAGAAGAATGTCTCTGGTGTCACTGGGGCAGGCCTGGGCGGGGGTCTGGCCGAGGTTGTTCCTGGCACATGGGTCAGCCCCCTCCCTGATCAGGAAACACCCCAACGTCAGGTACCTGGGTACCGACTCACGACGCGGAAGTCTACTCAACTCCTCATGGACCTGCATGTGAATCACTTCCGGTATCACAAATGGAAACTAGAGGAATGTATTGGCGAGCAAAGCTAGCAGTTCAATATCTCGCGCGTTTTGCGCGTATTTAGAATCACGTAGAACATTAATACGGTATGTGCAGTGCCCTTCACGCAGCGCCCGTCACATAAAATAGAAACTTTTCACATTTAAATGACTAGGGAGGATCGCTTTGCTCACAAATAACATACATACATGCATATGTGCCTTAGTACAGCTAGATCTCATATCAACACTTGTAAGTACGAAGTTGTCGTTTTGCCTGCCAATGCCAATGATGTACACATACTACAAGTCACATGTACATGATATGGACCTTGTTCATTTGCGGGGTGTAATCAGAGAGTGGTTGAGCGCTCTTGTTGACAAACACAATGTGCAGTGCCGTGTTCCCATCACTGTCCTTGCAGCTGATGTCACAGCCAAACCCAACTAGGCACTCAATGACGGCCGCGTACCCTTCAATGACCGTGGCATGTAGTGCAGTTCGAAGGTGCTGCCCACTCTTGCGGTTAAGATCACAGCCCTACAGATCGACAGTAGCAAATATATACCAAAAATAAGTTGGAAGTTCTTTCTCAACTTCATCATCGAGAGTGCTAGCACGCTGTTTTAAAAATCTTTATCTAACGTCAGCTATTAAGCTAAAACGTATACACATACTATATAATACACCACAGAGAGCAAAAACTTACGCTGAGAGCTAAGTATTGGACGATGAAGAGTCTATTCTTAATGCCGGCCAATTGTAGTGGGGTGATACCATCAGCTAATGTTTGCCAGTCCATTAGGTCAGGACGTTGTCTTACTATGTCTTCCACACCACTGCAGAACAATGCATTACACCAACATCCATAACGCAGAGCACAGAATTTCACAAGATATGCACTTCGTTTTACACACTGCACGAAGCTAGTAAAATGAGACGCTGCTGCTACCGTACATCGAACGCTGCTTAGGCTGGGTTCACAATACACGTTGCGTTGCCCCGTCGCACGCTGTGCCGCGCCCATCACATCGTGCCACGTATAGAGATAGAAATACGCGTGACACAGACACACGGCACGGTGCGACGGGGCAATGCGACATATTGTGAACCTAGCCTTACAGGAGTGAAAAACAGTGGGGACAAAAAGTGTGCACTCTGGAAAATACGGTGCGAATAGTGTAAGTTGTGGCATACGGGAGAGAGCCGTGTCCAGCAGCCTCCATCAGTGGGGTGAAGAAGTTGGAGTTGAGGAGTGTGAGGTTCGCTCCGGCCGACAACAAGATTGGAATGGCTCGCGTTCTCTGTGACGACAGGACATGGTGCAGAGCTGTCTGGCCCTGGCTGTCCTGTGACATGGAACAGGGATACTATACCCACACTATGCCTAACACATGACTGTAGTTTCTACTCCCTTGGTATAGTTACTGGTATAGTAGACAATGTAGAGCACTGCATTCTCCACGCTATAGTAGAGGTAATCAGGATAGACATTAGCTCCGTCTTTCTTCCAACTTGCCTGCTAAAAGTACGAATATTTAGGCCATCGTATCTATCCCTATTCCACAGTCACCCACAAAACCTTTATGCCCTGCACTCTCCAGTTAATGTATTCAGGATGGTTGTTAGTCATGCCTGGGTTGTTTGGTCTGTCCTATCGTCATACCTGAATATTGACGTCTGCTGAGTGGTGTGCGGCCATTATCTCCAGCAGTTCATAGTGGCCCACGGCTCCAGCTATCATGATGGGAGTGACGCTGCGTTTGCCGTTCCTTGCATTGACATCAGCTCCCGCCTCTAACAAGATTGGAGCTGCCTCCGTGGCATTACTGCAGTGCAGTAAAAACTACATACAGTAGTATAGAATAAGAAGCTATAAAACTCACAGAAAGGCACAAGTGTGAAGAGGTGCATCTCCATCTCCATCCTAGAGTGTGTAAAACCAGGTTTGTGCATGTGAATTGAACAGCTCATGCTTTATGTACGAAAGAGAAAAATAGAAAGGGGGACTATAAGGGACTACTTCTTAGAAAACCAACTACTGTAACCCTCACTGCGCATGCAGGCCGATGGTTAACAAGTATACATAAGGCTTACTAGAGGATCATGCGTAAGCCGCAGTGCACAGTGGTATAGCTATCACAAATGTAACACAAGACAAGACGACATGGTACAGTATACCAACCATTATTGATAGGTCAGGTTTGAACTTGAGAACCACTTCCAGAACCTTGAGTCTGGACTCCTCCACAGCCACATGTACCGCTGTCTTTCCTTGCTCCAGTGTGTTAACCTGTACACATACATACATACATACATACATACACGACATACATACATGTATGTAATATACACACCTCTGCAGGTCGTGGCACACACAGATGCTAGCATCATTACTTACAATGTACAACATATAATGACGGCCTACTATGCAGTTGAAAATAATTGACTCTCTCTTTAAATGATAGCTAAGAAGGTTATAAACACTGTGGCTGACACAAAAATACGTTTTTACACCTGGTGTGGATTTCTCTCCAGGAAAGTTTTGACAGTGGAGATATCTCCCCTGGAGGCGGCATGTATGAGGATGCTGGGACCCAGAGAATCAAGCAGGAGACTCAGACCTCCCAACAGGGGCAGACTAATGTTAGCTGTGGACGGAAAATAAGGCGGATATTCATACAAAAGTATGGGGCACACTTGCTATGTAGTGCACTTACTCATGCCTGAATAGTGTATACATTTCTTGAGAAAATAAATCTAGGCACTAGCTTTCTAGGCAACAGGACCAACAAACAACGGATGATTTCCATGACTTATAGAGCAATGTACATAAGTACTAGCACGGATAGTTTTCTTTTGAGAGCTTTTTAGAGTAGTTACGTATGATGGATGAATGCAGTGGCATACACATTACTCCACGGGAAGGTCAGGGCAGGAAAAACTGTTGGTATAGCTCACAGTCAGATTCAGGAGCGAGGGTTTCCCCGGGGGCGTGGCGGAGACAGTGGGCGTTGAGGGTCCACCGATAGCCTGCGATGCTGACCAACACGTTCACCTCTCCTGGAGTCTTGATCACCTTCCCCACCTGGTCTAGACACTGGCCACAGAGAGATTGCCAATAACACAGTAAGAACGGACAGAAAAGCATTAATCCAAACTTGAAAAAATGTCATCCTCCTCTTACACTACGGTCACTATTCGCTATTGTGCTGGTATATACACCTAACTAACCATCGTTAATTGGTATGCAGGGGCGAGCGTCAATTAGAGTTTGCTTAAAAAAGTTAGTTTCCATACAAGCCCTCGGACCTGATACCTACATAACTCTGTTGCTGGTCTTGAAACAGCACAACACAAGGGCCCTTGGGCATCTAGCTGTGTAAGATTTCACGGTGTCACTATCAAACTACGTATGTACAGGTGGGTTGTATTTAGAAAAGGTATAGCGAAAGGTTTACGAGACTAAGGAACAAGTCCACTGGCTACACACTGACTAGTAGTGTCCCACTGACCAGAGCCATGTCGCCATTCCACTCTCCGTGTCCCTGCTGAAGTCTGTACACCTCAGCCATGTCTGAGATCATCCTCACCACGTCACCCGGCTCAAACACCGGCACATCCACCTGCACACAACACCACACAACATCTCCCTTCACCTCTCCACACACACACACACACACACACAAACACAGGAATCAATGTGCATATCACACATAAGTAATGGAATGCAACGTAGTTTTGGCAAGCAAAGCGAGCAGTTCAATATTTCGCACGTGTTTTGTGCGTATTTTTAGAATCATGAAAACATTACTGTATGTGGAGTCTGTTCACTGTTACAAATATTATGTATGGAAATATCTGTCATTCAGATGACAAAGTAAGAAAGAAAGTCCAGCAATACCGGACAACATCTATTAATTTTGGTAGAGCTGCCCTGATGATGAGACATACAAACCAAACTGCAGACACTCTGAGACTCTTGTGATCCATGACTTCCGTTGAACCAGATTGGCACAACCTTACAATATAGCTAGTAATTCATGGCTTGCTTGCTAGGACACGCTTCAGTGTGGTTTGTGAATATGGACTCGTGCAACACTAGCTGTGCAACACGTGCGTGTAACCGACCGACCTTGTTGGCGCGCTGGTTCTGACTTAGAACGAGGGATTTGCCAGGTAGACCAATGAGCCTCCATTCTCCAGGAGTACAATGACTTCCCGACTGGTCCACATCTGGTGTGAGTATCCCACCTTTACACTCAATATGATCTTTACACAATCAGACAAGTAACATATACAACGTCATTCTCGAACACATTTAATATAGTCCATGCAAACTCAGCAGTGATAAACCAAATGCCGTGTTTATTTTTCCCCACGTGGGCAGGCCCAGGTGCATTGTGCCCCACGCAACATAATAGGGAGCAAAAATTAATGGGGAGCTTTACCAGCCAAGTCACTAACTCTCTAAGTTTCAATATGCCATAAATGAAGGTCTCTCACCAATACCAATCTCTCTCTGCCATTTCAGGTCGTCCACTCAGCAAATTACCTCACACTTATTCTGTCCCCAGTCACTATTCCCCTGAGCTAGGAGGCTTCACAGCTTGACCTGTGAGTAGTAGTGCCCCCATTAACCATCAGTCAGTAAAAAAACACAGTGATGTAGGCTCAACTTAGTTTATCTAAAACAACTCATTTAATGTTCATACATTCATTTTCTCTTTTCTTAATGCATAGCCAGTAATTTATAAAGCATGCGAAGAACCCTCTCACATAGCTTTTCACAAGAGCTGCATAAGAAAGCATGCACATTGCAGCATTGCACCCACATTAATTCACACGCAAGTTCTTTCACAGTATGCGTGGCAACGCCAGCCAGCCATTGGGACAACAATTGGAAATATACATAATTATAATATGCCTGTGCTGGCTCGCCTACAGTTGCCAATGAAGTCTCACAAGGTCCCTTTTTCTGAGGTCGACTCACAGAGTACAGAAGGTGTTCAGATAATAGAACCCTCCGCTGCCAGAGCAATACACCCACCACCAACCTAACATACACACACAACTAACCTAAACCGGTGAGTCACACAGCAAAGTATCAGTAACCACCTTTCCTCCTCTTGTCAGCTCTTTTACTCTTCCTTGTTCCCATTCTCCCCCGTCACCAAACCCAACACACTCCGCTGTGTGTGGGACACATACTGTAGTGTTTTACCAAGGTAGGTTTTGGGATGCCTAAAAAAAAAAAAAAACTAACTAGAAGAAAAACCGAAAAAAATGCCCTCCTTTTTAAAATTCGTCCCTAGCATGCTTAACAGGTATCAATCTATTGTGATTAGCAACACCTTTCTACATAAGGCTAAGGTGATTCTCAAAATTGAAACGATTCGTTCAGGGCAAGAGAAAGGCTGGTCAAGGGCAGAGTTCAAAGTGAGGCAGGGGCATTCATGGGAAGAGCAAGGCGAGAGGAACAGAAACAGTATCAGCAGCAAAGCAGGAAAAAAGGAGGCAGAAGCAGCAGATGCAACAGACAGACACAGAAGGAGGCAAGAGCAGAGAAGTGGAGTCAAAGCACAGACGCAGAGCAGGACAGAAGTCAACAGTCATCAGGACGAAAGAGAAGGAAAGGCAGCAGGAGAGGGCACACATAGGATATAGCGAAGGCAGAGCAGGAGGGAGAGCATCAGAGGAAAGGAAGTGGGCAAAAAGGCCATGCAGGACCAAAGTTGAGAAAGCAAGAGTTATCAATCAAGAGCAGGCATCAGCAACAGAGGAGAGGGCATCCAGAGGACATAGTAGCCAAGCCATGATGAATATGGTCAGTAAGTTCAGAGGAGGAGCAAGACGCTAGGGAGGCAAGGAGAGAGTCAAGGCAGCAGACAGTTCAGAAGCAATCACAGAGAGACAGCAATTTAGAGCAGTCCAGATAGCAGCAAGAGCAGAATTGGCAGATAAGCAGAGGCCAGAGGAAAAGTCAAAGAGAGATATCCCAAGACAATAATGAGAGCAGAAGACATCAGCAGAGGTGAAGCAGAGAGAAGGGAAGTCAGCAGATCAAGTGAGCAGCCAAGGGAGAGCAAGGCAGGAGAGGTAGGAGGGGTTCAGCAGCAACAGAGAGACCCGAGAGATAGAGAGCCACCGGAGCAGGAGGCAGGAGGTACGGCAGAGAGAGTGCAGCAGAGCAGGCATGAAGAAGAGGCATGAGAGAGAGAGCAAAGAGGGAGGTCATGAGGGAAGGAGCAGATGGGGGATTAGCAGAGACAGCAGGCCTCCGCAGAAGCAGCAAGAAGCAAGAGGAGGGCAGGGAGAGAGAGGAGCAGCAAAGGCAACATGGGGCAGACAAGCAGAGCAGAGGGACAGCGGACAGACAGGCAGCTAAATGTACGTTCAATAACTTCTCATCAATAAACAGAGCTCCTACACTAAAACCTCATATCACTACCTCCCTCATTATCCTTCATACTTCCCACCTTCCCCGTCCTAACCCACTCCACCTCATGTATGTGCGTATATACTGAGTTGAAGATCGACAGTCCCCGTAAGACAAATCAAAGATAATGTTATTCTCTGACACTGATTTCCCAGGAAAAGGCACACAGACATTTATTCACCAATGACACTATCACGTAAACTATAAGCACATAAGAGTATATATAGTCACCATCTTGGGTAGTCCCTCTCCCTTCAGTCCCCCTCACCACCTCATCTCCTAGAACAGAACACTGACTGGAATACTTCGGGATTTCTGCTCGTTCCCAGCCTCGAAACCTGCAGCAAACCATTTCTTCCCTTAATACCTACAGCACATAGCGAGCTAATAATAATGGTGGCCCTACTATTATGTACATATATTTGGGGTTTGTATTATACCCACGTCAGTAAATACCATGACAGCAGCAAAATATCTCATCCCAGATGACCTTGTTAGCGCTAGGGTTCTACAAACATAATCCTTGCTTGCGTACAATTGAAGATAGGGGGCCCCTGAAAAACTACTTCTCCCGTCGTCTGTCCATCATACATGTGAATCGATGCGCATGGAGCATTGATGGTTGGCCATGTAGCATACTGAGCACAGGTAGACTCCGGCGTGCAGACACCCTCCACATCACTCCGTACACCTCTTCTTCGACACAACCGTGGCAATCGTGCTTGTAATAAACTGCGGGCCCTATCATAGATAGCATTGACTATAGCTAGATTTACTTCAGTCGTTAACGGGTGTGAATTAACTAGGTGTTTTGATGGATTACCGCTAGGGCCGTCGTCCAGGACTCTGATGTCAACTTGTTTCTCTGCCAAGCGGACTACAACCTCTGTCCCAGTCCCAACTGGACCTATGCACTCCTCCTCCACCTTCCTCCAGTCCAGCCACCGTCCCCACGAAACCCTCGCCGCCGTCTTGGTCTCCTCCTCCCCACTCCCAGTCTGGACCACGACTACTCGCTGACCCAGAGCTGCCCTACTCATGAAACCCTCCTACCACGCCCCCAACTCGTAGCGCTCACTGCGCTAGAGTACTGATTAAGCGAGCGCACATTTAAGAAGAGTGATCATTTGCAAATAAAAACTTGGAATGATATTATATTGACGTTAATAGTTATGGCTAACACCTTTCTGTATAGGTACTTCCAGCTTTGCCGTCATCCAGGATTAGTTTGATCTGTCCCTTTCCCGTGGCAGCTTGTTTTCATATTGTAAATTCAGCAGCTAGCTCCAGGTTTCCTGACAATCAATAGCTTGGCCAAGAGAACTGGTTCTTCCACCCCAACTGTGCTATACCTGGGAAACTCTGACAGCACGATATACTTCTCTACAATCTGTGTCATCATAACGGCATGCATTGAAACTTGAGATATGCAACTTCTATTAACAACCCCATCACACCGATATAATCCGTGCCAGTCTA